AGAAAATCATAAAATGGAACACAGCGTAAGCTTAGCCAGTTTAAAAGAATTTATGTAAAAATAAAAAAAACCAAAACATACCAAGTCTGCTACTCTGCACAGGCTATCTGAAAGCTGATCAAAGATCATTACAGTCTCTGGCCCAGGTGGTGTTGAACATGCCTTCTGGACAAGCTGTTCTGATTCTTGCAATGCTTTGTCCTGTGCTTCTTGAAATCCTTCTGGACAGCTCAGTTCTGGAACACCAAACAGACCCTGCAGTGCAAAACACAGGGAAAACACATCACTATTGCCCTCCTTGATTTCTGCACCTTTCCTTTGTTTCAAGACTGAATTATCACCACAGAATTTTACCAAAATGACCCCAGCTAGCACACTGTAACACTTCACTGGACAGCAGCACCAGGTATCAAGAGATTGCAGGCAACAGACCAGTTTTCTCAGGCTCACTAAATGAGCCCCAATAGTGGAAGCAGACCTCAAAGAAATAATCAACAACAAGTGAAAATGTTTGTGGAATGAACAGTTTTATTCCCGAAGTTCCTATCAAGCCTGGCCCTGTCCCACAGGGCAAGGTAAACACACTTACTTGTGCAGAGTAAATGCAGGTGGCACCTATGTTCTGCATTTGTGGAAGAGACTTAGGTTCTACCACTAATCAAACAAAACTACTAATGCTAACAGAAAGAGAAGTTCCACAGTGCAGACCTACAACAAGAAAAAGATTTCAAAGAATCACAGAATCCCCAAGTTGGAAGTGATGGCTAAAGACTTTTGGATTTTATGTATTCTTTATGTATTTGTAGCTTTGTAGACTGTTAATACATAGTTATAACTTCTAGTAATTTCCCAGCTCTCTTTCTCACAGCTAGCAAACTCCTATTGATGCATTCTGGAAATTCTGTTTAGTCATGCCTGTTAGTTTAGCAAGGACACTTTATTTTGCACCATGTATCATAGACATAATAACATGCAGAGTTAGAAGATTGGGGGAGCTCCAATGTGGCTGAACCCAGGGGGGAAATTATCTAACCCAGCTGCTCTTCTAATTGGACAATATTTGACAGGTATACTAATCAACTGACCTTATAAAAATGTAGAACTACAGTATCATGTGTACATATCACCCTGTTGTGCACCTTGAAGGCTTTCAGTTAAAGATTTGCCTTTGTATTATCATTTTAACACTGTTTGAAAAAGCTTTGAGTTTTATTCCACGTGAAGAAAGGACCCACAAGGATCACTGAATTCAAATTCCTGACCCTGCACAGCACCCTCCCCAAGAGTCACACCATGTGCCTGAGAGCACTGTCCAAACACTTCTTGAACTCTGTCAGGCTTAGTGCTGTGACCACTTCCCTGGGGAGCCTGTTCCAGTGCCCAACCACCCCCCGGGTGAAACATCTTATCCTAGTAATTCCTTAATTTCATTTAAATTAAAGCAATATCTCTTCAAGCAATACATCCCTTTGCAACTGCATAACTACAACATGAGCATCTCCTCACCTCCTGACTACAGCACAAACAGTGAAAGGTATGTGATTTCACAGAAAATCTACCCCTTCCAAATTCAACTTCAGTATCTAAAAGCCACAATCTGGATTTTCAAATCTGCAGTCCAGTCAACTTTCTGCAAACTCTTTGTATTGTTGCAGGTTTGCAGCTTGCTAATATTTATCCAAATAAATCAAAAAGCTACAAACTGACAGCTTGTCTGTACAAGTACATATTCTTGAACCCTTCAAGTACACATCCGGAACATTTTGGGTTGCTTTTTCCTATTTTCTTTCTGTTGCTGTTGCCAGAAGCACCTTCTTTATTTGCTAATGAAAGAAAACCTTTCCTCACACTTCCCATGTTTTAATGTATTATTCAGGAACAGAAACTGAACTAAAGCGAACATTGAAAAAAGTATTTTTATATTTTTACACATGTGCACAAAACATAAATATACTTGTGTCACAGCACTCTTGAATAATGTTTGCTGTGTAAGACACTCAAGACTGCCCTTTCACTCGGATCCTCAGCCAGAGGATGCAGTGTCCTGCAATATCCCTGGGAGCTCCAGGTCTTCCTGACATCATCACCCACCCCCCACAAGCAAGCTCATCTAGCACATGTAGTGCTCTGTGACCAGGTTATATCTTCTCTTAGAGATAAATTAACTGTAGAACTCCTATTACATATGACATCAAGTTTGACGTAAAAAAATTAAAATTACAAAAAAATGAAGCCTGGTGTAGTTCTCTCTGTTCTTTAATGTCATTGGCTGCATGGCTGAAACATTTTTGTCTTCACTTGGTCTCAGCATTTACATCCTACCTGGCACAGCCTCTTTTTGCGTCTGAAATTCACACCTCTATTCCAAAAGAACCGTGGGCCAAGTGAATCACCTGGAGCACATTCCCTAGACCAGCCAAATGGACAATATTTAAGTGGATTATTTCCTGAAGCAAGACTTCCACCAGTGTGCTTGCAGAGGCATGAGAACCTGAAGAAAGGCTTCCCAAGCAAGTGCCAGATTATAAATAGAGGTCAGATTTGTCCTTTCTAAAACCCAAAGTTCAACAGCTCCACCAGGCTGGGCACCATGGCAGGAACAGCTGAGTCAGCAGGCAAACACCTGGATTTTACAGCTGCACCTCTTCTGTATGCACTGCGGTACCTTACCCTCTCCGGGTAAGAAGACACATTAACAAATGTTCCTGACCCTAAAAAGATACGCATCAGAAAATTCAACTGTCACCAAATTAGCAAAGAAATCCTTTTCTCGCCACAGGCAAGACATCAAGAATAAGCCCAGGCAAGAGGACGTGAGCAGCGCGGCTGCTCCCGAAGCACTGTCCGAGCGCAGGGGCACGGCACTGGCACGTGAACGACGGCACAGCCAGGGGAGGGCCGGCAGGAAGGGGGAATGGAAGGGGCAGCCTCACTTTATGGACGTATGGGCACCACTGAAAAAGCGTTCCCAGACACAAGGCCGTCACTGTCAAACGCTTCTGTGTCCAAAACCAACAACGTTTGGGTTTGCTAAAACCAATATAAACGCTTATAAAAAAAATATTACACACAAGAGAAAAACTACCCCCAAAAATTCCCTTAAAACAGTTGAGACAAGCAGAGCAAAGCACGAGGCTGCCAGCGACCAGGGCTCCTGCCGCAGCAGGCCCGGCCCTCCCCTCCCGCCGCTCACCGTGTCCCTGCCCGCCGCACCGCCGCGCAGCGGCTGCTGCTGCTGCTGCTTCACATCGAAGGCGGTGCCCACGGGGCACCAGCTGGTGCTGACGGCCCGGCCGCCCTGCCCCGCCGCCCGACCCCGCAGCGCCCGGCCCAGAGCCGCGGGCAGCGCCCGCCGGCAGCCGCCCAGCATGGCGGAGCGGAGCACAGCGCGGGGGAGCGGAGCGGGCCCGGCACGGCCGCGGCCTCCGCACGCCCCGCTCGGCCACGACCTCCGCGCGTCCGCGCCGAGGGGAGGAGCGGTAGCAGGAGGCGGAGCGAGGCGGAGCTCCGGGCTCCCCCGGGCCCTCAGCCCGCCGGGCGCCTGTGCCTCAGGCCCGGAGCGCTCCCCGGGCCTGCTTCTCTTCCCGCCGGGCGCCTGTGCCCCGGGCTCGGAGCGCTCCCTGGGCCTGTCCCGCTTCCCGCCGAGCACCTCTGCTCCGGGCTCTGAGCGCTCCCTGGGCCTGTCCCGCTTCCCGGGTCACCAGCGCCCGACCCGGCCGCACCGGGGCCTCTGCCGGCTGATACCTGTCCTACACGTTCTCCAGTAAAACCTAAGGAAGGCCCTTTTAAAATGATTTTTCGGTCTACGTGTTTCTGTGATACAAACTTGCCGCGTGTGGCTTACGGGAAGAAACTTCGTCTTGCTGAAAACTTCACAAAGCCCTTTCCTCCGCCTGAGTGCACTTGTATCTCCCTCGCTGTCATTTGAGAAGTGCAGCTGTTCCTCCTCGATTAACCCACCGTGCCCTTTCCGTTTGGGCTCTGTGATCCACACTCGGGTTCAACTACTGTGGGAGCGTGCCCACATTCCCCTGGTACCCTGAGGTGGTGATGGGATGCCAGGCCTTAAGCTCCTAATACTGCATTTCATGATACTGACCCATCTACATTGGCATCTCTACTTTATTCCCTTCTAAGAGAAGTGAATGAGACTTCCCTTTTAAATTTTTTTTTTGAGTTTTAGAAGAAAAGGAGTGGGGGGAGGGGGGAAGAAGAAGAAAAAAATTGGGGGGAAAAATGACAGAATTTTAATGTATATTTTATTTCCTGGTTCGTGGCACAGGAAATAACTCTTGATCAGTTCTCTGGCATGGCTGCTTCAGTATTGATTAAATATTATCTTTAATCTGGGAGAATTTGTTTTGCACCAAATTTATGCTCTATTTTTGCACTGGCCTTGAAAATCTGCCCACATCAGAGAATCCACATGGCCCTTCCTCCTATCAGTCCATTTTGTTCAATTTCAGACCTGTGACTACACAGAGAGAAAATAACCATATTTAAAAGCTGTAAATGAAACAATGAAACTTGCTTGCACCGCACAGCAAGCAGCTTCTGCAGAGGTATCAAACTACACTAATTTCAATTTTAAAAATTATTTTAAAGTGGTTGGATGGAAACTAACCAAGTTTCGAGTCCATCTACACATGCCACATTGAAAGATATAAACATGGCTTGGAACTGTTGCTTCTTGTTTATACAAGATATCCCACACGACATAATTCCGGAACTTTTGTCTTTTATTTCATCACACTTGCTTTAAAATTTGTTCTTCAGAACTGGGGTACACACCTCTTATGAAGGCCTACAGTAAGTCACCAAACCACTAATGTTGTTAAGCCCAGCACTGTAGATTCTGAAGACTTGTCCTGTCTTGTGCAGAAGCTGCTCCTGAAACCAAGCGTTTTCTGTTGAATCCAGCAGAAATTTCCCAGCAGGTAACAGCTTTCACAGGGAGGGCTGAAGGGCACAGGCACGCAGCATTTAGGGATAACGCGGAGCTACAGGGTGTGCAGCAGCAGTGGCTCCAGTGGGTCAGCGGTGCTGAACAGGAGGAACCCAGAGAAGGTGGTATCATCATCACCATCTGCATAGAGCCCATTGAAAGCCTCTCCTTGGTGGGCCTGCAGCCACACCTCATCTCCTCCCTGCAGCTCAAGGATGGCGGCTCCCGAGGCCTGGTCCTCTCCGCTCTGGTACCTGTCCACCGTGTGCAGCATCTTGATGCCGTTCTTCACGAGAGCGACTCGCACGTTCCTTGAGTAGACAGTGATGTGGTAGGTGAAATAGTAAACGCCGGGGTGTTTGCAGGTGAACTTGCCAGTAGCCGAGCTGAAGTCATTCAGACTGTTATACAGCACCTTGTCAAACTTGATCGGGCGATTTGGAGGGGGAAACTTGGTGTTGGCTGTAAGGCCGACACTGAAAGCACTCCTTGGCAGGACTCCCGGGGCACCTACCTCCCCCTTGTCTCCTCGGTCTCCTTTCAAGCCTCTTTCCCCCTGAACTCCCGGATTACCCTGTGGCCCTATGCCTCCAGTATTACCTTTAGGACCTGGATTACCAATTGGGCCAATTGGCCCTGGGAAACCAACTCTTCCAGGATGGCCAATTTCACCCTTTGTCCCTTTTGGACCTATGGGTCCAATGTCTCCTTTGAACCCCTTTTGTCCTTGCAGTCCCAGCTCTCCCTTCTGACCTTTGTAACCCACTGATCCTATAAATCCTTTTGGTCCCAGTTTCCCAGGTGGTCCTCTTTCTCCTTTATCTCCTTTGTTTCCCTTCTCTTCAACAGTCCCATTGGTTCCTAAAGGGGAAAAAAAACCAAAACCAAAACCAAATAATAATAAAAACAAAACAAAACAACTCCACAACTTTCTTGTGATCTTCCATTGGAAGGCACAAATTGAGGTTCATCATGAGGAGACACATGTGCAGGTGTGCATCTCCACTGTGCATACTCCACTGTGCTCACTGTACACAGTTTCTCTCATACATTTAAGTACAGGATAACCATAAGAGCCTGCTATTTTGTTAGAAAACAGGTGCTCTGGCTGGCAGCAGCAAGAATAAACTCAAAGAAAGGAAGGTTATCTATGGGCTGATGATAACACTGACAGCTCACATAATGTCATGCAAAAGCAACATCTGTCCACACTTTTTTACAGCCTTTGGCGTACAGAATGGGTGAGAAGGTTCACAATTTAATCAGAGGAAGAGGAAGGGTTTTTTTTTACAACACCCTGAACTTGACTTGAACTGTCACATGTTTCTATAATTTCTACATATAATTTCTACTTCTCCTGGGTTACATAGGTTGCTACTGCAGCACAACTAAAGGTGTTTTGTCCTGGTTACTTGCCACCCTATGTTTTATTTATCCTTCATCCATCATTGATCAGAAGATCAAAGCCTTCAAAACTGCTCTGATTGCTGCACAAGGTTTTGAAAGTGAAGATCTCATGATGTGAAAGGCACTTTAGCAGTTGGTAGACAAAAGACACTATAAAGAGCTATGCACAATCCGTCAAGAAAAGAAGCTGGTCAATTCTGCTCAACAGCCATTGGCTTCTCCTGTAGGGAATAATGCTGTTTGTACAGTTTTTTGTTCTCAATTTAGAAATGAGAGAATTTAAAATAGATGAGATTTTATGATGAGTTCACAAACACAAGGGCAGAAGTTCATAGACAAATATTAAATTGAAGCACTTCTCTGACCTCGTTCACCTTTCTCTCCATTGACACCATCTTTTCCTGGACTTCCAGGAATTCCTGGTTCACCTAGTACAGAAATAAAACCACAGATATTCATTAAACAAATTACCAGAAAATTTGGGAAGAGTCCTTCTTTAATCTTTCCTCCTCAATCCTGGCCAAACAGTAATGTAAAGCATACCTTATTCTTGACTTTTAGTGTCTGCCACTGCTGGTAGTTTTATCTTACAGAGAGAAACTCTGCTTGAGGATGGTGCTTTTGGGGAGCAGAAGAAATCCTTGGCATAAAGAGGTGAGTTATTGAGACATGTACAGTTGTTATAACCTGGCGAGGATCACCAGTGTGAAAACTTCTTCTCTTGTTGCCTCCATCCATGGAAATTTAGCAAGAAGCATTGCTGGGGCAGGAAGCCTTGCAGTTAGACAAGAATGTGGTTTTGTGGTGGGCCTGGCAGTGCTGGTTTAATGGTTGGACTAGATCATCTTAGAGACTTTTTCCAGCTGTAATGATTCTGTGATTCTAAGAATGGTGAACTCCCACCTCAAGAAGAGACATGCAGGAGTTTAACTGATGACAATGGATCATTACAGTGGAATAATATTGCCTGTAAAGCTGAGGAAGGCATTCACACTCTTGATCCCTGTACCTAGCATGATATGGACTTTCCACTGCTCTACAGAAAGCAATTATAGAAGTGATTTTTGTAGTGCAGAGGTAGTACAGATGCCCAAGAGGTCCATGATCAAATAACTGAATGCATCCTGAGTGCAGGAACAGAAGAAAAACAGAGTTGGCAGTTTGATTGTAATCATATTCCAAGAGTAGCTCTCCAGTCATATGGACCAGAGAACAGTTCTTTAGCAGTTTCCTGTGCATTGGGTGCATCCCAGCATCTGCTGAAATTTCATTGACTTGGTAAGGAACAAAATTAATTCTCATGTGTTAAACCACAAAGATGTATCTAAATAGAGTGTAAAAATGGTGCATTCACCGCACTTTGTTCAAACAAAGAACAGTACAGTACAGGAACATTTAGGAAAAATGTTGGAGAGTTTATCAGAATCTAATGATATCATGATAACTCACTGGAGTGCAGGAAGGGCCTTTATAAAATAAATGAAAATATGAAAGCTTTAGGTTTTCTGGTTTTCAGACCTTTCTGGAACCTTGCATACAGAAAAAGAGGACAGTTAAATGTATGTGCCTGTTAAGATGCTAATGGAAATCTTTGTTTCTTTCTATATTTTAAAAGGTGATGAAGTGTTATATGTCCACATGCCTGCAGATTTATCACCTTGTGCGACCCTGGCCTTGACATTCCAGCATGGATACATGGGCCATCATTAACCTAAGACTTAAGGTATTATGGGGGTGATTAGCTTTAGGATGCTGAGATTATCACTGGCTTTAATATCTCACACAAATCTCTATTATAGCCTGCTAGAGTAGAAATAAATCCTATATTGTTGTTCAATGGTCTCCATTTCTGAACTTACTCTAGTGACTCTTGAGTTACAGCAAGTAGGCACACTCAGAATCAAGTCCTACCAATGTATCATTTAGATAAGAAAGAGAAGTCTTCTTATCACTGCATACTTCCTACTACACCAAACAAGGTATCAGTCGTTGCTTTTTTGTTTAGTGAGCTTTAAGCTCTTTGCAGAAATATAGTTTCTATCTTAGAGGAGTATGAATAGGTTTGCAGGCTTTAAAATTTTCAAATACACTTGAAAATATTCCCATGATAGAAAGTAAAGCCTTTTTTCCTTTGTTTTTTATCCCATGAGCCTGACATCTCCATAGTATTTGCTGTCTTGCTTTCATTAAGCCTTTTTTTATATTTCCTTTTTCAAACAGGTAAATGACAAATGTCTTAAATGTTTTCTGAAGGCTAGGCAGAATAATCCCATTCATGCAGAGTAACTACAGACAAATTTGGGAGTGAATGACCTTGCATTTGATATATTAAATCATTCATTCTGAACACAGTACCTGTATCTCCCTTGTCTCCTTTTGACCCGTCACGTCCATCCCGACCAGGTATGCCATTGTGCCCAGGATTTCCAGGGATGCCAGGATGCCCTTGGGTGCAGACATCCTGGATCTGTGTTTCTGCTGTGCTGACTACAATTGCCAGCAGTAGAATCCAGCTTTTCATTCTTTAGATAGGTTATGTGACTTTGGCTGAAATATTTAAGAAGAAAAAGTACATCTGCCTATGCCTACCTTAGAAAGGAATACAGGGTGGTGCAGGGAGGAAAATAAGGAAATGGGGTTTCACCATGTCTGTTCTTTTGTTTTATTTATAAATCTCTCTATAGCATTAATTACAGTCCTGGAGACTACTGAGTGCTATTTTAAATAATTATTTAATGGACATATCAGTCCTGGCATCATTCTACATTTAAAATATTAGCTTTACACAATTCTCCATCCACATTTCTCCCTGCACCTACTTGTGACTGCATGGTTGTACCTTTCATCTCCCAAGATATAGTCTCATGGGAGGTGAGCTAAGCAATTCAACCCCTCATTCAGCAAAAGCAATCACTTTTAAAATTTTAATATTTTATTATTATTATTATTCACTCAAATTAGTCCCCTACTAGGTTAATAAGTGAATGACCTCAGATGAGGGGTTAGAGCTGGAGCAGAGTGAGATGAGGGCAAAGGTGTGACAGATCAAGAGAGTTTTTTGGCAAAAACAAGTCTGTAGCTGGGTGCTCCCAATTCATGTAACTTTGCTACTAAAAGTCCATCTTATATTTATCTTTTCTCTTGAGAGCCTCTCCTATATAATGTTTTTTAATATAGGCCCATTGAAATACATTAAGGCTTAATCCTGGACACAGCTGGTTTAACTGAGTGTAAGAGCAATTGTTGGGAAGAGATTAGACTGAGGAAAAAAAAGCAAATAGCAACAAAATGAATACCTGTTTTATTTGGAATTAATATCCAGAAATGTTAATGCACAGAAGCTTCAGCTATATAGGTTAATACTTAAACAGGTAAAAGTGATTGTTAGTATGAGTAAATGTTACACAACATTTGGCTTTGGAATTAGTTCTTTTATTAATGAGGAGTAAGATGAGTATTTCTTTTGCAATATTAACTAGCATTAACTAAAAAAAATATTTCTTCTCTTTAATTCCTTCACCACAATTTCTCAGTCTCATGAAACAATGCACACAAGTACCATGTAGAGATACACCAGTATGTCCACAATAAGAATAATTACACCCTTAATCTAATTTATAGAGTAAGACTTTAGCTTTGGGACATGCTCCTTAATCTTTTTATTCTGTGTTTAGAGAAGTTCCCCATTTTGAAACCATTATTAGAAATTATTTATGGTGTCTTTGCCAATGGATTTACTCAGAGATGTTTGATCACCCACCAGAAAAATCCCACTTTGTCTGCTAATGCTGGTTGGCACTAAAGAAAGGTGAAAACAGATAAAACATTTGCTCCTTCTGAGGTATATAAATATTTGCTGCCTTAATCAAAGGACTTCATAAGAGTTCAAAAGGAAGAAGGGCTCTCTCTGTATGACACTGTTAGGTTGCATCCCATGGAGAAATCTGACAGTTCTTGTCCACTTACAGAGAACCCCATTCCCAGTTGTCTAGGGAAGCGTTTCCTGCCTAAAGATTAGACAGTGTGGTTGGTCTCCATACATACACTCCTCTCTACAACCTGACATCATCATCATATATATAGGACCTTTGTTCTTACCTTGTTCACTTGGTACTTGCAGTGTTCTTGGGCATCTTTAAACTGAGTGTAGAAACTTCATGTAAAGGAAAGCACACTCTGATATGTGCCTTGAGGACAAGCACTTGTTTGGTCACTAAATTCTCAAAGGTCAGTGATTTAATTTTGAGAGCTGTTCAATAATTAAAACAGAGGTTTAAAGTGGAATCTTTCTATTTATTCCAATATTAAGCTGAAGTGCTCTGTACTTTGGCTTTTACCACTGTTACATAAAAGGAAGTTGTTAAAATGGATTAATAAGGCTTTGATTTCCTGTTCCTTTGTATACAAATATATCACTCAAATGTTAGCCTCTGACAGCTTGGATGATTTGTGGCATGGAAGGCATGTCTCACACCATTATTATGCTGCTAAAATATATAATGGAGGTAATTTCTGAATCAGGTAATTTACAATGGATTTAGGGACATAGACTATAGAAATTAAACCAAAAGATTCTAAGAATGTGGCATTACAATTATTAGATTATTATGGAAAAGAAATAACAAGGTTAAATTAAACATAGAATAAATAGAATTACAAAGTTTTTCATGTGTAATAAGCAGGCTCCCTATCTAGCTATTCAAGAAACAGTCAAAGCTATTGGACTACTAAATTATGTATTAGTGGTAACTCACTTGAAAAAAGCCACAACTCAATTCTTAACTGTGTCTTTTTGAAACTACTGGAACTGCTGTTGTCTAAGGACTAATGGAAGTCAACTGAGCTTATCATCAACTCCGTAAATGCTGATCATCAACAGTGAAGGATAAAACCAAAAGTAACGTGAGTTAATGTGTTAGAGGAAGTGGCCTTAATTCACCCTTGTTGGTTCAAGTGACTGCAAACAGTGTCTGAGGGTGTCACCACACTGCTAAGATGTGACACGTGTGCTCTGCACACATCAAAGAACGTTCTCTCAGCACAGCAGAGAAACGAAGTTTTTTGTAAGATCTTCACCACCACCCTGTGGCGACGCCAAAATATTGCAAGAGTTGAGTTGCCCCGGCTTGAACCTGGGGCATCGTGTCCACCGCGCTCTGGGGAAAAGGAGGGACCATGGGCAGCAATTTGCTGCTCTACTTGAATGAACTTCTGTGGCCAAATTAATCTTGCTGCTGTGCTAATTGAGAAGAAGAAACGAGAGCCACAATGAACAATCCTTTTCTCTTTACCCATTAAGCACCATCTGAAATTTTCTAAGCCTGCTTAGCCTCAGCCTCCTTTCTCACTTAAAAGTTTGAGTCATTAAAAAACAGCCCATCCTGCCAGTTAGGAATGACATCATTCATTAGTTACCTATACCTTGATGGACTCTGCAGTTAGTCTGGTTTGATGCATTTTTAGCAGACAACCAAGAAAATTGCTGTAGAAATCGCCTTAAAGACAAATGTTTCCTTCAGCTGCTTCTTTAGTGCCTTGTCTCATTACAGAATAATTATTTGAAAATAATTACACGGGAGCAAGAGTTCATAATTTGCTCTTAAAAAACATTGAAAGGCAGGAGATGCAGAGGATTTTAGATTGACTGCTGTGCTCATTACCTTTGTTAGGAGATGAATATGACAGCAACGACCATGATGATTAATTAGATATACCTGACCTTATTAGCAGAGCAGTTTCTAGACACTTCTTCAGTAAGTCAGTATCTCTAAAGTCTGGGGTGTGCTTATAGGAAGAGGCCATGGTGCACCTGGGGCTCCTCCTTTCCTCTTATGCAGTTTCACCTTTCCTGAAAAAAAATTCCTGGGAGAAACAGTGGATAAATCGTACATTACCTTGTGTTTGGACAGAAACTCAGCACTTGAAGAGCAGTGGTACTCCTTCCTCTCAGATCTCCCCTTCTGAACTTCACTGACTCCAGTGATGCAGATGGACACTTTCCAATCTCTGCTTGTCCACAGAGTGGTTTGGCTGCCAATGCAGGTGTCCCACTCTGAATGCTTAAAACATTAAAATGACTCAAATAAATGTTGTCCAGGTGTCAATCACACATACACACCCCCAATCCCCCCAAGATGCACAACAGAAATGTAGGATGTAATGATGTGTTGTAAACAGACAATGATGTAATGTAAACAGAGGGAGGGTGTGATGGATGTGGGTCACTTGTCTGGTGCAACCTGCTGTAGGTGCCAGCAGACATTTGGGGATGCCCCATGGAGTCTACAAAGGAGGTGCAGGTGTAAACACACGTACACACACACACACACACACGTCTGTTTTTTGAAATCAGAGCCTGAATTCCTAATAGTGGCAGTAGGTGAGTTCTCAGCTCCAAGCACTGGACAAGTTCTGATTGCAGTGAACTAAACAGAGTTTAGTTTTTTAGAGACTTAAGATTAACAAAAAAGTGTGCTAACAGTTTATACAGCTTTATCATATTCTCACAATTACATATCCTCTAGATAGAGTAACTAGATTTTATAAAGCATTTAGAAACACATTTATTTGTATAAGGAGTATTTGTGTCCCTTCCTTACAAACTATGTGGTGTGCTGTTTTTCACTGCTGAATTTTTCATTTCTCCTTTGATTCTGGAACATGAAAAAGCCTGAGTCCTTGTCTCTGTTACCAAGCACAGGTGATTATGCAGCCTTTGGAAAAAACCTAAACAACAAAAAAAATCTAAGAAAAGCAGTGCTATTTCTGTGCAAACTAAAAGCTCCATCTGATAGATCAGCTCTCAAGGAACTTTAAAAGCTGAAAGTACAGAACAATTTAGAGGATTTAGCCTGACTGCCCAAGCATGAAATAAAAGGCACAAATGAGCTCACCCTGGCCAGTTGAACCAGGGTCCTTAGAAAGCCTATTGATTGCTACATCCTACTCCAATTTTGCTTAGGGTATGTTTTTATGTCATCCAATCTATCTCACTAAGTGCTCAAACTGTGCCTTTCACTTTAATGCTGGGGCACTCAGCACATATACCACCACAGCAGCAACCTTGGGAGGCAGAAACTCTCAGCTGTGAGATGAACCAAGAAATGTAAGAGTCCAGATGTTGGAAAGAGGGGTAAAGAATTAGCAAACCAACTATTGTGCCAGCAGTTGAATTCATCAAAACGTTTCTGATGAAAAGATTTCAGCAAAGTATGTTATTTTGTTAAAGCTGGTATGTCTCAGCAAAACACAATTTTTGACACAGCCTGGAGCAGGAAGAACACAACCATACCTTTCAGATGTGGCCCTCTGCCCTATCAGAATAATAAGACACAAAATCTCTCTGAATCAGAGAAGTCAAATCCCCAGCTGTGTTGCCCATTGCTCTATCAAGCAGACAGGTAAGTCTGTTCACACATGTGCAGAGCATGCCTTTTGGGTGAAGCCCTTTAAATGGGTTTGCTTTCGTTCCAAAAAAAATAAAATTAAATCTTCCTTACCTGCCCTGCAATACTTAAGTCACCATCCTCTGTTAGCAGGAGCTTTATTAGCACAGAAGCTGCACCTGCATGCATTGCAAGGGGTACTGTGTGAACCCTCTGCCAGGACAAGGTAAAGCACGGTAATCACAGGCTGAGACAGCAACAAGTACAGGCTTTGCCTGAACAATGAAGAGTTCAATACCAGAACCAGGCTTAGGCATTGTTAAAATGAAATTGTGCTGGGAAGTACTGAAGCTGTTACTGGGAAAACAAGAGAGCATGGTGTGACTTTTTTCTTTAAAATACTAGAAGAAATATGACAGTTGATACATTTTTGCATCATGAAGGAAATTTTGTAGACAATAAAAAAAAAACCACAACAATTTTAAAACTGCACATAAAGTTTTATAAGACACAGATGAGGAATTCAGCTTTGTATATTATTTAATTCAACCATGTACAGTAAGAGAAAAATAATAGGAATGTAAGTTTGTACTTATTTTCAGAAAATAGATTCATTTGACAAACAACATTCAAAGAGTAAATAAACCTTGCAATGCAGTTACTCCAGAAGAAATGCACATCAAGCTACTGCTGTCCTATACATTGTACTTCAGCTGTCAACAGCCAATTCCTCTGCTCTGCAGCCAGGACACTTCATTTACAACATGTAACAGCACACACACAGGGTGAGGTGCACAAAGCAATGTATGGAAGGTATAATGTTACAAAACACTTACCAAAATAAAATATATATGCAAGTTATCCCTAGTATTTACAACAAAGAGTTTTAAATTAGAGATCATTTAGAAGGCATCTGCTACATACAAATGCCACACATATAGAAAAGAAAGCAGAAAGGCAGTCAGAGAAAGGTACTGTGTTAGTTATGACTAAAGACCTTTGGCTCCAAAATTGTGATATAATTATTTCCAAAAGACAACTAAAATGTGGAACATTTGAGAAGTCTGTCTTTGAACTCAGTTCTTACGCTGACCACTAAAATTCAATGTGAAATTTAGCATGGCAAGAACCACTTGTAAAACAATCTTATTATTTTATACATCACATGCTCTGAGTTGGATGCAATTATGGTTTGGCATTTCCTAACTCAGTGGGAACACATTTGAGGACAATTATATTTTACTGCATCTCATGCAAAAAGTCTGAGGTTATCTGCTCAGCAGGCCATCAGGAAGGCTCTGGCTGGGCTTTATCAAAATGAGGCACAAATGTTCTTAGTTGTTGCCCTAGAATTTTTTATAGTAACTTAAAGCATGCAAGTGGAAAAGAACAGATGTTGCTAACACAGCTTTCTGATGATCTATATATAAGTTTTGTCACCAGAAGGAGAATCAGGGCAAGAGTTGCTACAATTCAAACTTCTACATTTTAGTTGCAACTCCTTCCCACAGACTCTGAAGTGAGGCTAATTCCCAAGTAAATATTTGTCTTAATTGTTGAATAATACGTGTTTTCATTTCACTATAATTTGTTTAAAAGACTATGGTATAGTATAAATTTGGCCTGTCTTACTATATTTGATCTTCAATCTGTTGCAAGGTCATATTGCAAAGAAAGACAGAGAGAGCATTACAAAACAACTATGTCTACATGAAGGATACCATAGGTAAAACTGTCCTGAGTAATCTGCACCATGAAATATTTTCTTTTTATCTCTTTGAAATTCACTTCTTGAGAAAAAACCTATTGCATGCAAAACCATATGCAAACATTTCTGTCCATTTTTAGGGCTAAGGCACCAGCACTAATACATGGGAAGAGCCTTCATGGGCACTGACATGTCAGAAGAAAGATCCCCAAACCTTTTTTTTCCAGCACCCCAGAGAACTGAGCGCTGGAAGGAAGTAGGTTTCAGCAAAGACACATATAAGTGTGGATATCATAATGTCTTCAGATCCAGCGAGCAAAGTTTCTGGGTGAGCACTGCAATCCAACTTCAGCCTTTTTTTTTTGCACTTAGAACAAGTCTTTCAAAATGTGATTATGAAAAACATCATCTTCACTTGCACCGTACGTGCATCTCATTGGTTTACAGGCCTGAACATGGCAAGTACCCACAAAAATGGGTATGTAAGAAATGCAAAAGGCTTACTCATTTGAGGGGAAGGGTGTGCATCCATGCCTGCATTTGGAAGTCTGCTCCTTGTGTTTAAACTGAGCATTTAGAATTATCTATTTTTAAAAATCTGAGCAGCAATGGCTGGCTTAAACATCAAGAGAAATATACACGCAGCTTTTTTCACTGACTTCCCTGTGCATTTTCTTTCAGCTGGATCACTGCAAATGTCAGTGTGCACTTCCAGTTCTTAACTAGTTTACATCATCTCCCATTGCTATGGGAAAGCACAAGCAATGAAATTTACTATGCAGGGCACAATTTGGCTGAGCATACCAGACTTTGCCTTATTGCTGAGCTATATACACAAGGCATTTGAAATGTAAAGTTGTCAAAAAGATGTAATTTAAAATCAAAACCACAAACCTGGGCTTTGCAGAAGTGGCCACAAAGTTATGAAATCACAAAACCTAGTTAATAGTGGGCTTCACAACACTGATGGTAAATAAAAATATGGAGGTAACAATAGCAGTAGGAACAAATACATCTTTAAAATAAGGCTTTTTTACATTGTTGTTAAAATGCCTGGCATTTAGCCCCTTGTTTGTATTTCATATATTACAGATCCATGACAAAGCTGATTGTGCCCACTGTCAAAGAATACCCTTGGATCTACCCTAATCATCAGGTAATGCCCCTAATCAGCAGCATAGGACAAAGTATTGTAAAGACATTCATAGCAAATCAGTTCTGAATCATATTGAGTCTTTACTTCCTTCCATATTCCCAGCAGTCTTGTCATCCTTGATGAGAGCAAGCAGAAACTATCAGTGCTACAAATATCGGATCCTCTTCCAGGTGGCTTTTTAAAAGTTATTCTCCAAGATCCATTTCATGCCACAGAGGAATTGAAGCAATGCAAATCATGGATTGCATATGCTGGTCAGAACTGACCTTAATCAAGTCAGGTTCTTCCTCTTCCAATGGGGACTGATGACACCAAGACAAAAATCCATCTCTGGTCCACATGATTTCTCTGTCCCTTCTAGTAAGGATTTCTCTTTCTTTTTGAAGAAGTTACTGGTCAAAACCCATTGTCAATTGAATGTGTACAAGAAGCATGGATCCAGACCGCTTCAATATATTTACATTACAGTTTATTCATTTTCTAAGTCCAGCTATATGAATAAAAATCATGAGATCTATGTAACATAGCCAGCAGTCACCATGTACTGTCTCGACTCTGATTTTGTACATTCACATTATCTCCGTGAGAAAATAAAAATGTATTTTTTACACAGAGAAATAAACATTTTGGAAATACAAAGAAGAGTCTCCCAGGTGAAGAAATGAGTGAAAAAGCGATGTGAAAGCTCTACACTGAAGAGCATACATGCATGCATCTGCTCTGACTGAAATGAATCAATCTGAGATGCCCTGGGCTCCTCTTGTTTCCACCTGTGTGCAATAAATGCACATATCTTTACAGTCCATTTCATACTCTGTTCCTGTTTCTATAGGACAGAATAAAATTTCCCTGTTCCAATCTGGAATATGGTAAGGCCTTGCGGGATGTTCTCCTGCCATTTGGCAATGTAATAAAAAAAAAGACAGGAAGGATTAGGGTCCACTAAATTCTGCACCAGCTGGTTAATCACATGGGATAGCTCCACCTGATTTTAATGGGTGATCTGTGCTCAGTGCTCCAGAAGGAAGGAGAAAATTCTCCTAAGACTCCTTGCTGATACATCCCTATAGAAAAATTCCTCCCTATCCAAAATTTGGCCATCAATATAAGGTTAAGAAAAATGAAATGTTACAATGACCTGCACAATTCCATCACTACTTCAACATAACTAAGAAACAGAGATCAAATACTGCTGTTTCTGAGTAACAGCAAGTTGTCTTTGTCAGAAGAGAGACTGCTCTTCATCAGCAATGCTGACACTTGGCAACATGGACTTCAGAGCAGCCCTGACAAACTTCTTATCCAAGACAAAGGCTGCATTCCTGTCTCAAGGGAACCCAAGGTTCTGCCTCTGAAATGGGAGATTCACTGAGCTCAAGTAAGCTTGACCATGTCTCCAAGGTCCTTCTCTGGAGTGAGTCTCCCTCTGTGCTGATGCCCTTCCAGGTCCTTTGGCCTCTCACTTTTTAAAGGGAGTGAGTTTGTTGAAGGTATGCCAGAAGAGGGATGGCTTCCGCTTGGGTTCTGCCAGGGCAAAGACCTGCTGCTGCGGGACGCTGGTAGGCACGGTGATGTGTCGCTGGTGAAGGGGATGAAGGGTTTGGTGTAGAGGAGGCAGAGGACACCCATTATAGCTCACACCTGCAGAAGAACAGTTGGAGAAAGCACCTGAATCAGCCATGGAAATTTAAGCACAGAGCCAGGGGACAAGATGAATTTTGCCATGATCTTGAATGGCACAACTACTGAAGGTCACGTTTTCTGATGTTTGACTTTTTAATTGATGCATTGATTTGGCTTAATAAGACAACAGTGCCAGTAAAAATAATATAACAGAATAACCAAAAACAAGCAGCAGTTTCACACAGCTGGACTATACTGTTTGCACAAATAAATCCTTGTATTTCAAAGGAATGACTTCAAACAGAAGATACTGGTACTTCAGTCCACTCTCAGAGTAAGGCTGGGTAAAATACTGCTACCGACAAGACTTTTGTTTCTTCCATTTGAAATATATTTTTCTGGGTTAATGTTCTTAAGACTTGAGCTTTTTGGATTCTGAACAGAATCTCCTAATTACATACTTTAGCCACTGCCCTGAAAATCCAGACAGGTTCCAGGGATACCTATTGATTGATTAAGAGAAAATGCTTTAAGAACATTAATCCCAGTGAACAGAAGACAATCTAACATCAACTCCTTCACTCCTAAACTCAGGCTTAAATCTTATTCCACTTTTCTCTCAGCACACTAGCGATTTAGCTGAGTTTGACTTTAAGATGGAGAAGGACAAAATCCATTGTAATTTGTTTCTGTTGTGATTATTTTCTGAGAGAGGAAATGAATAAAAAAGCCATTTCCTGGCAAACAAGCTTCTGGTCCATCCTTCCTTCTAGAGGGATGCCAGAAGAAGCCATTTTGACTGTTATTGTAAATAATATAACAATGTGGCTTGCAAGAAGAACTTCAGGACATTTTAAACAAGACACAGAATTGGTAAAGAAGAAGAAGCTCTTTGAGTAAAAGCAAAGGAAGGAATTGTAGCACTAATTTATAATTTAACCTGTGCATCCAATTCATCACCTTAAAAATAAACACTTTGCCTTACCTCTTGAGTTTCTTCTCTAACATACAGAATACTGACTTGTCTGTTTGAAGAAGCTCAGGGAGCTGATTTAGTAGACAGTTTAGAGAGATATTGGAATTTAATATTAAAATACAGGTTGATGGCAATTATTTGACTCCATGTAAGCCAAAAAAAAATGTTTTTAAAAGACTGAAGAACTCAGCCACAGCCAGACTGTGCTATTTCCTAACGAAAAGATCAATGGAACACAGTAAGAAGGTAATGCAATTCTCAACACCCACCTTTAATTTTTCCTTGCCTTGACTTACGGGCATTCTGCATGGCTTGTTTCTTCTGGTTTTCTGAGATTTCCATACCTACACATCAAAGTGTAAATTAGGGCACTAGTACATAATTACTGCATCTAATACTTGATTGCATTAAATTAAAACAAATAAGTAAACTGTACCTTAAGCAATTTTTAGTAAATCTTAGTAGCAATACACCTGAAGTTTTTAGAAGTGTGTTTTATATTGTTATATGAACTTAAAGAGGGTTTTCCACTAGGATAATGACAGATAAATCCAGATAACAAGAGATTTTTTTTTTTAAAAAAAGGGTGTAAAATAAAATTTTTGAAATCTGTAAGTCATCAAGTAATGGATCACAATTGCAGAATCCTTTTGTTTTTCACTCACTCTGAGCTAACGTGGGGAACAGATTGGAGTTACTGCTAGTACAAATTTGGGTATCTTTCCCTTCACTCAGAGGAAAGTATCACAAAATCTGGCAGACGCTGAAGCAGGCTGTGATGTGGTTTTGGCTGCATCATTCTGGAGCTGGATCCCTCATTCTCATACATATTTGTGTATATTTTCGGGTTTCTCATACATATTTGTGTAACTCACATAAAGCACATGGCTAGCCCTATGCTTTTTACTATCATGTGACAGGTGTATGGCTGAGCTGGGGTACAGAGATGACAGACATCTGCTAGAAGGTGGCACCAGAGACTGTGCTGTCTGGAGCCCAGGTAGAGGCACTCCAGTTTCCTCCCCCTGTGCACAACACAGTTGAGATACATGCAAATGTCACATTTGCACAAGGTGACAACAGGGTGCACATTTCATGCTGTGCATAAGGCTGCACTCATTTCACACATATGCACAGAAAGAGCACAGAGGCTGAATGAAGTGTCTGGTTCAGTTCCATTTTGCATCTTTCCTCACTTCTCTACACTTTTAAAACTCCCTTTTTTATCCTGAACTTATGAACAAGTTATTACAAATCAGCCTATTAACTTAAAACATCCATAATTTTTGGGTAGTAGTAGTTTATTTTATCCTGCAGGGTTGTTTTTTTTTTTTTCTTTATAGAAAGAAGGAAACAGATTTTTAAAAATGAAAGCAATTTCATCAAGAGAGATCAGACCACTCTCTTAGGGTTACTATTAGTGGTTTGGAGAAGGATTTTCTGGCTGTGGTCTTTTCTCTCATATATTCATAAAAGCTAAGAAAAGCTAGATATGGTTTGGGAGACAATGACTCACACCAAAGTGTCTTCGAAAATAGAAGTAAAATGCCATTTGCAGTTCTGAATTGAAAGAGTATTATTGGTTCTCTGAATGGTCAGATTAGAGGCTTTATGTTTAGTCCAGCAAGATAGCTTACAAAATCAACAAGACAAATTTAAACCTGAGGTTGAGAACAGTGGCATTTTTCCATTGGTTTTGGCTGAAGGAAATGTTTAATTATGCCAAAAAAAGAAAGAATTTTAGAAAAGAAACAGTCTTCTGGTTAATGGAGAAAAGATCCAAGCCACTGTGGCTCACAAGACCAGATGGACATTAGGTATTACAACTCAACTATCTTTCCTCTGGTTCATCATACCTGGCCCAAAACAGGAATGTTGGAATAGTGAGTTGCAACACTTGAAAAGCAACTTTACAGAAAGCTGGATGTTACATGGGCAGAGAAGACTGCATGTGCCATTATCAAACATACAATTTCTCTTTTAACAGGGCTTTTTTCCCCCACTCTATTGCACTGTGCCTGAAGAGCATTAAGCACAATGGACCCTCCTTGTGCAGTTCTAGCACTCAGCAACCATGGGAATTTGTAACCCAGCCCCAAAACAAGGGTTAGTGCTTTTATGACAAATCTCACTGCCAGTGCCACCACCACTGTTGAATGGTCACTCTTCTAAATATCATATGTTGATTTTCATGAGGTCCCAGCAGAATAAATAGTTTAGGGCTGTAGCTACTACACCTTTGCAGTTTCCTCATGCTTGGGGATTACTGCAGCAGTGTCACTTAGGAGGAATGGTAACACCAAGACAGACCTGTGGTTGCCCAGGGCAGAGCCTCAGGAGCTTCCTGACAGACAGCATCTAACTTGCTCAACGTACTCTCCTAGTGCTCCATAAAGTAACCACCCAGGAAGAAGTGCAGAGCTCAAGAATGTTTCATCTTAGAAAGGATGGAAATGGAAGCATTCACTTGTTCAGTTTTTATCTTCTTTACCTCAGTCTTGCTCACAAAAGTGCAGGAGCTGTGTTTTACTCAGTAGCATCCTTCCATGTCACTGAATTATGGTTCTCATTGTATACTGGAGTGGAGTTGTTCTGTAACTTTGTTGTAAGAGGGACTGTGTGGACAATTATGATCAGATCCTCAGCATTGCTCTATTACCCTCTGATCACCTTCACCCTTTTGCAATACCCACTGTTTTAGAGTTCTGTTTAGGTGAATTAGGGAAGGCAGCTACCTCATAGCCCCACAAGCACAAGATGACAGAGCAAGCTCCACGTAGAGCAAGGCACGAAAGCCATCAGCATTGTGCCCACCAACGCTGACTGTAATGTCACACTGTGACATTCAGCACTGGAGAAGGATCAAGTTTCCAAAGTCTGAGGGAAGTTTAGCTGTGGCTCCTTCATTGTTTACTCTAGATTCAAGATGACTGGGATTAATTGCAACAGTTGGTGCAATGTGGAAGGGTTAAAACTGATTTTAAATTGAGAATCAACTGGCAAACTTTTAATATTTTCTTCTGCTTATGGACTATCTAAAATACATATGGAAGAGGCCTTATTTTTGTCATACTTACAACAGTATCAAACAAGAGAAAGCAACTAGGATCAAAAGGGTTACATTTGTAATGTAAGAGTTATTCCTGTCTTCCTAATATTCTGACCACATGTTTTACATGATCATGGAATATAAGGTTTGGCATCTTGTTTAAGTTTTAATAATTTCTGAGTTGTATCATCCACTTCACTGCACTTCCAGTGTTAACCTGATGTCAATCCAAAGCCTTAGCCTCAAGAATTTTACTGAAAAGGAGAAGTTCTCATGCAGCCAACATTCACAGATGCACTAACATGACTTTTTAGAAACACTAAAAAGAGTTTTCTTTTTTTAAAATTACTGTTGCTGCTTTCTTTGTATATGTTTTGCCAATTAAATTTTGCTGGAGCTTTTGTCACTGATCTTAAAGGACGCATGAAACAATGCAAAACCAAAAAAGCAATCCTAACTATACATTGACACAGAAGACACACTGTCTTTGGAGTGTCCCATAGGCTGCAGGTCTAAAACTGGTCCTAGGATTTACTACCTTTTCTCCTGCTCACTCAAGGTCTGGCTTCATTTCTCTGGCCAGTGCCAGAGAAATGTGCCAGTGCCACTCACTGCCCAGTGGTGCTGTTGGTGGGTCTGTAGTTAATGACACCATACAACTGCATGGGCCTCCTGGACACAGGAGGTGCCACTATATCACACAGACAGTATAAATCTACAATTATTGCTGCTTGGCTTTGTAAAAAAGCATCCTTTATGGACAGATATTTTTGACCAATCGTTCATACAAAAGTGCTAGGATTTTAGATGGAATTTTATTATTGATTGGTTTTTGTGACTTGCATCTTGTCATATCTCATCTCTCATTCTGCTCCACCAAGCACCAGAATCATATGGATGACGCTATCTGCCCTGGACCTTTGGCCCACAGTGACAGGTCAAACACACCTGAACAGGCTTCACTTACACAGCTAAACATCAGGTCAGGCAAGAAATGGACACCAGCTCAAGAAGACAGAGTGCACATCTGTACAAAACGAAGAACTGCAAAAGCAAGTTTGTTTTAACCACTGTTTAGAAATTGTTTCACTCACCCATTTCCTTGTCTTCTCGAACTCTTCTCCTTTCATTTTCACACGCCTCCATCCATCTCTTTTTATCCTCCTGTTTTTTTGCACAGAACAAATGAACCTCCTCTGTTGTTCTGTTTATTATCTTAAAAGCATTCTTGACATTGATGTTAAAATCTTTGTCTCTGCCATCTTCGGTGTCCACAATTTCTGTCTCATCCATGTCAATACGATCCTTGTAATACAAAATGTCCCTTCTCAGCAAGTCCTTCTTACAGAACACAAGCTGATGGTCAAAAAGGAAGAAAGTCCTCTGCTGGCTTTTGCCTTGTTTTGATATTTTGGTCAGTTCTCCTGAGTGGATCAGTTCTGAGCTTCTGGCTAACACATCTGGTCCCTAGGAAGACGTGTATATAGAGATATAGAGATATGTAGTAAGTAAATAATATTTTAAGATCTCAGTGTGTGTCTAACCAGTCTCACTATATAATCAAATCTTAAGTTCACTCACTTTTCTTGTATTTTTATTATTAGATTTGAAAATGTCATACAATGTAAATAATATCATAGAGGTAAATTCAATCAATGTGGTCCTGCATAAAGAGAGGTAAACATTTAAGTCAGTGAAACAGGTTCCGTTCTGACAGAACTACCAGACTTCCAAATGAGATTCAACATTTTTAAAAGCTCCATTTTGACACCTCATCTCAAAGGCAAGTGTCCATGTTACATACTGCTCTTCCTGAACTATAAACAAGGTTAATCAGTAACAGAAACATTGTAAATGAAGCAACTGGACTTTTAACTGAGCAATGACCACTTGAAAAGTAGACACCATAAACAAGCACCTACGCAGAAAGACTCCTGCAGGGGACATGAGGTACTGTACACAGTACCTTTGCCCAGGAAAGGCACAGGCTGACACTCACCTCCCAGTCTACAATAGAGACTTGCCAACGGGCAATCTTGTCTATGCTTTCTAGTCTCCGTTTTCGCTCATTGATCAGGCATGCCACGTTCTTCATGGCCTCATATGCAGCTTTTATGTTGCTATAATCACTGGGAAATGTAAGCACATTTCAAGGATCACTTATACAATGGACATGATGCAATCACAAACCATGGAAATGATGCAACCACAGTGCCTGCAGTATTAGCCCACATTATCCCCTTATCCATCTAGTCAGGTACTTAAAAAAGAGGAACCTGATTCCTGCTATCCCAAACCCCACACAGTAGCCTGTACAATTCAGTACTGCTGTACTGCTGGGCTTGTCTAGGAGCAAATTACTAGATTGGTGCAAGGAGGCAGAAGTGATCGATTAATGAACTGCAACACTGTCTCTACTGAAAACAATGGTAGAACTCCCACTGAGCTCAGTGATGGCTGTATTTCACCTAAGGACTGTGTCTTTTAGCAAGATTTTAGTGGGACTTTTTGGGAAGGGCAGTCTTTTGATCATGTTTAACAATTGTATTTTCTCCTTCTTGTTCCCAATGACTGGGTCAATGAACACAAATGGGGAATGCTAGGTGGACAGGAAAAAAAACCAAAATCAATCCCACAGAGCGTGAGAGGAAGCAAAGAACAAGGGCCCCAGAGAGAGGAATTAAAGGAGACAATATGAAGAAAGCATCGTGTTTCTACGGGACAAATGTGTGAAAGCCATGATGGTCACCTGCCTCTTCTTGCTTCAGGACTAATGCAATTAACTCAGGCCAATCCTCCTGTCCTTCTTGCAATGCTCTGCTCTCCTCCTTCTTTCCTGAGCTCTCAACATGCGTATGAATTTCCCCAAGTTTGCAGGTAGCCTTTTTTTTTTTCTCTGAATAGCATCCATCTCTCCTTCACCTTCGTCAAATGGAGTCTCTCAGAAGAGAGAGAAGGGAAGAGACATATCTCTTGCTAAAGGAATCCCAGCAGAGCAGCTGCTTTTCCTCTTTTATCAGAATGCCTCTTGCAGAAAAGGGAGCCAGAGGCAGAAAACAGCACGAACCAGAAATAAATCCTGCCAAGGTGTTAGCCTTGCTGTTCTTTTTATCTGCTTCTGTCTCAGTTCCAGTTTTCATTGGCTGCTGCTGATGGATGCGCTTCCCTTCAGAATGTGTGCACTCTCTCCCCTCTTTATTTACATCTGTGGGAACTCTATTCTGCCACACTGAATATAGAAAGTGAGATTAACAATAACAGGATCCTACTAACGCCAGGGAGATGTCCCACAGGGTGACCACATGATATCCATACTGCTACATTTGCCCTTCCTTATCTCAGTTCCTTTTTTCTTTGTTGGTATTTATTCCACACTTGCTACACAACTTGTGGCCTTCACAGCAGGCTGTGCATATTGGAACTTCAAATTCTTTTATGAAAACAAAATGCTACCCAAACCCCCAGCTGGCTGGAGCTTTTCTAAGGCTCCATGTGGGTGTAGATCTGCCTGTTTGTGAGCATCTCTGCACAGTGGGCGCCTCTCTGTGCTTGAAGGCATCTCTGGGTGCTGTGTCACACAAGAGGAAAATAGGTACTGCGGGAAGAAGGTGGTGAGACCTTGCTGTCACTTAATCTGCAGGTTTAATAGCTCACAGAATAACTTTTCTATAATTAGTAGCAGTGAAAGAGAAACTCTAGTTAGTAATTCTTATTGCAGCACTTCCCAGGTAGTCACAGAACTGAATAGAGGCATTTCACATCTAAATGTCAGTGCTTCACAGACCTCGTATTTTCCCTCTGGCAAAAATCCAGTGGTCTCCAAGGGGAGTTTTCTCAAGGTTAAAGTACTGACTTGGGCCAAGGAAACGTTGCCTCAGGCTTCATTTGGACTTTGAGCACAGGGGTCACAGTGGAATACTTTCTTGCAATTGTATAAGATAAAAAGACACTTATAGATAAAATCTTAATTTTAGTCAAAGATTGAATCTGTGCAGGGGTATAGCAGAAAGGCTATCTGCAACTTCAGTTTTTATTTATGCCAGCTGAAAATCTAGTATCTGGACTTTACTGCAAACTAAGGTAATGTTTATAACTACTAAGTTTCTAAAACAAATTACCTCCAAACTTATTCAGGTTGTGGTTATTTTTTAAGGCACTCTTCACTTTTTCTTACATCCACAACTTTTATGAGTCTTCCCCTCTTCGGATTTCTTTCTCCTTGATTTCTGGCCTTTTTTTTTCACTCTGAATAACACATTCCTCCCTGCTTCCTGTTTATACACCATCTTCTTCTCCCTCTTTGACTTATTCCTCATTATGTCATGCATCCTCTCAGTCCCCTGTGCTGCACTTTCAGATACTGTTTTGGTGACTGACTGTGATAGTTCCAAGAAGCCCTGTTTATCATGGTCCATGGCAGTTTTGTTCCTGATCTCAAAACCTTCAGTGTTGTGTCACCCAGAAAACCCGAGTAATAAGGTGTTACTACTATTACAGAATTTTTTATATTCATTCTCTCACCTGTGCTCCTGAGTGGTGTATTTGAGCAATTCTGCAAGCTGCAGAGGGTATTTGCAGATTTTCTGAACAGGCGTGAGAAGAAAACCATCAATGGCAATGTCAATCATCTGCTGAAGCAAGCGACAGGCCTCGAAGAAGTGGCGGTATTTGCCCTGCTTCATCAGTCTGGAGAGTTCAATGCAGGCACTGGGATGGTTGTTACAATACTCTGAATAAATAGCAAAGCCTTCTTGCTGTTAAAAAAAAAAAGGTGCAACTTTACTAAAGTATTTTTCTGTAAAGGAGAAAAGCAATTTTTGTAATATCTGTTATATATAATTAGATCAGGTAATCCATTTTCTATATTTCTTCAGGCTGATCAGCCTTGAAAGTATGCAGAAATCTACGTTGTAGCTGTCAAAACCATGTACCCTTCTTTGTCAGAACACAGAAATAAAGGTCTCTTCTTGAGTCAGGATAATCAAACTCACTTTAAGAAGTATTTTTCTTTGGGGAAGATAGCTATAGGCTTAGTAAGTCTCTATCAAGAACTCACAGCCTATCTCCCCATTACCTACCTTTCTTAATGTCTGTATGAAGTTTCTGCTTGCTGAATATGAGATCACTGCAAACAATCCAGCCCATCTGTGATCATTAGAGTTTCAACAAAGAAACTTAAAACTGTTTACAAAATAACATGCTAAAGATGAGGAGAAATCTAAAACAAATGTATAATTAATTCCAAGTTAGTTTACCTTCTAAAATGCTGCCAATTTATTATTTAAGAAGCGCTTGTTAGTAAAATCTCCTCCTAATATGGTAACTTGGCTTTTTATTATCATATTTTGGTAATTTCATAAATAAAATCAACTTTTTCAACCTACATGTTGAAGAAAACATGACCCTATTTCACTTAGATGAGGTTCTTCTTTGTTGTACTGTTTCTCAAGATCCTTCAGAAACTTCCTTTGGAACTTGTAAATATCTTCAATATTTCCAAAAATGGTGCTTAGCTGAGCTGTGGTGAACATTCCTGTATGTTTGCGACACTGCCGAATGTAACCCTGAAATGAAATAAAAAACACTCCTTAGTCCAAGGATGTGAGACAGGTCCTACCCTGAACAAAATCATTTGAGCTGCCAAGACCCCCATGGTCTCCAGGCAAGGAAGTGATTTTCTAGACACACACACACACACACACACAGAAGTAGAAGTTCACATTTGCATCTGAGATGTTCACATGTGGATTCCTGGCATCCAGCCCCTGTCTCAGGGTACCCCAAGCGAACCAGGGAACCTCCCAGGTGTAAAGCCCACCTGCATCTCCCTGTTGAGAATGCACTGCAGGGACTGAACCCCCAGGAAGAGCTGCTGTGCTCACAGTCTCACAGCAGTTACAGCACCAGGGCTCAGGGAGTGCAAAGGTTAACTGATGGGATAGGGGCTATCTGCCAGGCTCCTCCATTTGGCTGCTGGCAGGCAGGCCTCCCGCAAACAGCTTTGGGAGCAGACAGCTGAAATAGCCTTGCAGTTGCTCTGGTGAGGTTTACCAGGAAGTAACACTGACTGTTGCTGGCACTGTTAGGAATATTCCTGTCTCCTCCACAGCCATCTGCTCTGAGAGCTGTGCAGTGGCTACGCTGCAAGCCAGCTACCGCATTTCCTATTGCACCAACAGGGAAAGCTAATTCCTGTGTGGCTCCTGTAATGTGGACTGCAGACACTTCTTGAATGTAAGACATGTTTTATGGGTATACTTTAGCTTCATGATCCTGGCTACAACCAGCTTGAGTAATTCATACAAGGGCTGAGCTTGCAAATTTGGGTTACTATCTGTGTAGCTTTTCTGGCTTAGTCTTACTTGAGTGTATTTTCAGCCTTATGTGCTACGTGCACTATCCTACAGATTCACTCTGAGGACAGCAACTATCTCCACCCCACATGTTAAGTGTGGCCCATTGCTTCTCTTCTTGGAAAATGTGTGCTTGCTCTCTTGTACTAAACTCAGAGGCTTGCCAGATATTAAAAACCAGGTATAGGATATACGTATTAGAGAAAATTAATTAATTAATATGTGCCTAAGTCTTAACAGGTCAGTAAAATATGACAGTCATGTCCTAGAACTCAGCTAGCCATGGCAGCAGCATAGCAGAGTGTACAAATTCTTCCCTGGTCTTTCATGCACACAATCAATATTACTAGCTTCAGTAAATAATGAATATAAATAACGAAATTTACATTTAATGTTTTAAAATTAGCCAGCTGGTAACCAATTTTTGTCCTTTCTCTCCCTTTTTTCTCTCTTTAAGAAAAAGGCCTGATCTAAAAATGAAAAAAAGAAAAAAGAAAAAAAAAGAACAAATAAAAACCTACTCCTGCCTTGTCTACTTTGCTGTGAATTAAATAATCTAATGGTAAGTGGTGGACTAAAGCATGACAGCATGACAAATGCAAGGACAGACCTAGCAAACTAAGGCTACAAAGAACATTTTTGTAGATTGCTTTGCACCATTCCAGATGCAAACCTCAAAGACAAGTCAAATACAGGTCAAGTGCATCATAACTCATGTCAGAAGAGGCAAACTTCAGTGAAAAGTATTAAGAAGTTTCTTGCCCAAGTGTGAGCCTCCAACAAATACTGAGAAAAAAAGCAGAAAACCACCCCCATTTTATGGTTCAAACAAGCAAGGGAGATCTAAAACACACTTAGATTTCTTCATAACTCCTAGGCATCCAGTAAAAATCTCCTCAATTGAGAAAACGGGGAGATCAACCATTTAGCAAATACTCTTTCCAAGTTACTTCCAAGAAGTTTTGTCACTGAACTGCAAATTATTTTACTACAGTTACCCAAAGTTCTCTATACAGTAGCAAAAAGCTCTAAATAAACTGGACTTCCTTCTCTCATTTATTATAGAAATAGCAGTCAGAGAGGCACTCTTTTGCTGTCAAAAATGGAAATTTTTTAAAAGAAAGGAAGCAATGGCTCATGGCAGTCATCAGAAAGCAAAGTCGTAAGAGGAAATGAAGAATTGGACTGAGCGCGTCAGAAGCACAATTGGGAGTATTTTGAAATAAGAAACCACTGTGGTTCTCAACTGATATGGAATGATTTGTTCTCACTTGGTCAGCAGAATATCCTCAGGTTAAAGCATGTACCTCACAGATGTCCTTGAGATGCTTGATATAGACTCGTTCTGTTTTCATAATTTCCTGTATAACGTTGGTTCTCATCTGATCCCTGTTTTCAGCTATTTTCTGGCGATGCTTGCTAATATCTGAATCTTGTTCTTCATCCTGGATATTACTACAGTTTTCTGGCACTTCTTCCTGATTAACTCGCAGCTGCAGCCAGAACAAACAAAGCAATTAGAGTGAAGCAGAAAGTTTTACAACGTGTGGTAAAACTGTTATAAACTTCTTATACCTAAGAGAAGAGTGGATACAGACATGTTCTCATTCTTATCTTATAGAGGGGGCTTCACAACAGGATTTATCTCATTGTACTCACTGCATATTCAAATAAAGGGTTGGGATTTATGTTTGGTTAAATACATGACTTCTACTAACAGTATTTGAGAGAGACCATTGTGCTGTCCATGTTGTTTTCAGAGTTAAGCTTATTTCTGACCCTTACCCATACCCAATAGTTAATGTGTTTGGCCAAGTTAGCACGGGATAAAAATTACAAAAACAGACACTCAACCACTTTCAAATAGTTTCCCTGTGCCCCATCTGTATGGTGTAGACAGCAGGAGCTCCTTTTCTGACTTCTGTCTGATTGCCCAGGTTGCCTAGAGATCTAGGAAAGGGAAAGGGAGCAACCACCTGCTGCACTCCGTGTATGTAGTACTTCATGCAGTGCAGTCCAAGTTTCACTACAGGTTCTCAAAAGGCAGTTCAAATTATTTTCTAAAATATATTTCAATTTTTTACCATCTGAGAGTTACACTGGTATTAATCTGGGTGAGTTCTGACTGTGGAGTTCAGACTGTGAACCAGATTTCTACACAATGTCCTTGATAATAAATTAAGCCCTTGATAATAAATTAAACCCTATTTTACCAAGAAATCCCTGCAGCATAGCTCTCCCCTGCCCTTATGAGAACTGTTGTGTCCTTTCTGTACACACTGATGACTTTTTGTTTGAGCTTTCTGCTCTTGCAATCTCTGTTTGAGAAACTCCTTTGGTTACAAAGGGTCCAAATGAAGAAGACAGGGTAAAAGTTGTCAGGGAAGCTAAGGGATCTTAGGGTGTGATTCTCTACTGCCTTTTTCCTTGTGAACTCCTTAGGAGTTATGCCACTGAGGTTCAGCTATAAACATGATGAGGATCAGGTATGAAATGTAATGCCATGACAACTGTTGCACTCTGCTAGGAATCTTGCAATGGTGCAAAAGCAAGAAGCAAAAGAGTTACTCACCCTGACAAAGCTAGCTGGAAACCAGGCCTCCTTGTCCTCATTTCTTCCCCACCACCAGTCTTTGTTGGAAGCTTCTAGAACTCTAATGACATCTCCAGCTTTGAAGCCCAGCTCTTGATCATCCATAGTGACATGGTCCCAGAGAGCCTCTGCATAGACGACGGTGCCATCGCTTATCAGCTAAGATAGGAAGAAAATGAGATTGCAAAGGATGAAAGATAAACTCTATAGTGTTTATAAACTACAAAGATATCAATATAGGTCACTAGATTTGCCTACTATTACTCCTGTTACAGGATAAAACTAAAATTTCAGATTTTCAGAAATCTATGCATATTCTCATTAGTGAAAACAATTAGAATCCTGCTCCAAAGCAGGATTATATAGGGTAACAGTTACAGTCTGTGATGGTTTAAAACCCAGACGGAAAATCAAACCCACTCAAACTGACCCCTTTCCCCCACTCCCTTCCTGGAAACACTACGAGAAGTTATAGAAGGAATCACAATTTACTGAAAAACTGCAATAATCATAATAATGCTAGTAAAAGAGTGTACAAAACAAAGTTTTACCCACAAAAAGGTATTTACCACTGAGCAAACTGAAGTTCCTCCCAAAAAACTAGCTACTACCATTGAATTTTTTATGACTATGAAATCTCAGACTATGGAAAACATCCCTCCACACCCCCCACCCCTGTCCCTGCCCTCCCTGTGTCATCATTCCAGCAATGCAAAGCCCCGGACATTACCTCATTAATTGCTAGCTGTTCCCCTCCGGGCTGCAGGTACCTGGGAGCAGCTTGGCAGAGCTCCTCATAGCTGTAATCTTCCTCACTGCCATTGTCATCCACTAAGGCTGAAGACTCAGTTCCAGCATCTGCAGCAACTAAAACAAAAGTGCAACAGCTGTTTGCTTCATCATTTTTATGATTCAAAGACAACAATGCAAGAGGAATTGCTGAGAAATTGCCTTTGTTGTCACAAATAAAACAGTAACAGCAGGAGTGGAGGGTAGCAGAGCTCTCAGGAAAACCACCTTTTCATCATTAAATAAGTTTTACTCATTTTTAGAATTTCACATTTAGCAGCTGATAAAACTTTTGTACACAAAAAACCCAGAACTACAACAATTCCTTACTTATTTGTTCTCAGAGGAAACCTTAAATGGCCAGTATCAGAAGGAAAGCCCCGATGCCATTTCCCAGGCAGCAGATGTGAGGGCCCTACCAGTCCCCAGCAGTCAGTGGGGACACTGTCACCCTCAGGCTGGGTGCCCTCACACCATCACACCCCCTGCAGGGACACAAGGACCCAATGGTTCTGTGCCCACCCACCCATGGGAGGGGTGGGCAGCCTGTGTGCAGCCCCAGCTCTGTGCTGGCTGCTGCCACCTCTCCCACAAACTGGGGAGGCTCTGCCAGCAGCAAGGCTCAAGGGAACATGGAGCCCAGACTGGGCACGGTGGAATGGCCCTACAAAAAACCTGTTCCAATTTTTCCAAAACACAACAGTTTCTTGGTTTGATAATTGTGCATTTTCTGACCAAGGAGGCAGCTTTGTATGGAAAGAGAGGTCAGGACTAAAATGGGTCTCATTTTATTACGCAGCCACATAAGAAACACTGTTACTGTATAAAACTATAAAACCCCTTTGGGGTACACCACTGGTGACAGATTCTTTTGGTGATCACCCCTGGCAGAGAAAGAGAACTGGGGGCTGACCTCAGGAACAAGTCTGACTGACTGACTGACTGACTGACTGACTGACTGACACCCACACTGCTCAGTGCTGGACCCTGTCCAAGTGGGTTTGCCTCTGAAAGCTGCCTGTAATGTTCAAAGCACCCAGGATCAAGAAGCATTCATGACCAGTGGCCCCATACTTGAGTGCACTGTCTGGTCCTTGTTAATTTATTCCTAAAGATTTATTCTTATGGCAAGGTCAAGCTGTGAACTAGAGTCTGAAGATAATATAATGCTCAAAAAGTCAAATTCAGAATAGGTTGCTAGCCCTGAACTTCTTTGCTAAAGGTTAGCATCTCCCAGGTAGGTTGCCACACAGTCAACAGAGCAGCTCTTACTTCTGAGTGCCTGGGAAGGGACATTTAAGCAGAATTATTGAACCTGCCAATTCCAACAAGCAGCAAGGCTAAGCAGCAGGATCCTGACACTGGCCTCTTCTCTACTCTGCTTCAGACCTGGGCACTGCCTGTCTGCTGAGCTCTGGATGGGTAAGAGCTGCAAGGAGACAACTCCTGGCTTTACTCCATGCACCTACTACCACTAGGCAACCTGCTGCCATCTGCTACTTCCTTATCGGGAGAAATATTGCAACCCCCTCCTCAGGGCACACATACCATCACCAGCATCTTCACTCATCTGAGCATTAATTTGCCAGAGAGATCAAAGCAGATCACCACACAGATTCAATTAAAAACTTGCAATTTTTTTTTCCATAAAAATGGGAAAATATGGCATAGTCGTGATACAACAGAACATGGCTATTCTGTTCTACTCCCTAACATTTTAAATAGACATTCACATTAACAGTATCATCTGCTTAAGCGAGAAGGATGCAGAGTCCCTATTTAGAAAAATCAAGACTTTTTCTCCCCTACAAACTCATTAATCTGAGCACTGATGAACTTTTCAAACACATCTTGCGAAATTTACCGAAAATGCTTTATTAAAAGATCTGCAAATAAATATTTCATTAAATCAATTTTTATCTTATAAAGCAACATCCAAAAAATTTATCCCAGTGATCCTTTCTACATTTCCACTGCACTATTCATACTGCCCGTGGGGTTGTTCCAGGAATAATGGCACATCAAAATAACCTAATTCATTTGACTCCAGACAAAAAAGAACTACAATTTTGGGACAGAAAGCTGTCTGTTCCTCTGTACCAAATCAACAAGCTTACATTGACTTTGTTGGGTAGAATCAAGTGAAATCTTGAATTTTGCATCTTTTCCTCTATTGTATACAGACAGAAATACAGAGGGATGGGTGTGCTTTCCCAGTTGCACCAATGGGATGCAAAAAACTTAAGACAGCCTGGAATTGACACTGATATTCTAGCAGCTTTTCACCAGTACTGCAGTTCCCATGGATGACACAGAGTAAGTGTCATCAGAATCAGGCCCCCCGACTGCCACTGTTTACCAGTTAGATCAAAAAACACCATGAAAAATGCAAGAGCGAGCATGTTCTACTCACACGTACCCATCTGAAGGCTCTCCAGACTCCAAAATCGTGCCATTGCCCCCCTGGCTACCATGCTGCCGTCAGACCTCTAACAGGTGATGCTGCTCAGTCCTCCAGGGCTGCTGAAGGATCACAAGAGGCTCGGAGCTGCGCACAGCTCAGAGGAACAGGCTGTCAGCTGCCTTCAGCTCCCGGCAGTGCCTCCGAGGCCGAGCCCGGCTGGGAACTGCCAGCAGCGCACTCAGCCGCTCAGCCTGGCTGCCGCGAGCTCCCGGCTCTCTGACATCATGGGGTGCCCTTAGGGAGGAAGCTCCAGAAAAGAAACAAAAACCCGGCTGCCTGACCCTGGCCGCGCTGCGCCTGCAGCCGCCCAGACCGCTCCCACAGAGCCTGAACATCCGAACACAGCGAGCCAGGGAGTGCATTTGTTTTTCATTAAAGCAGTGAAACGCGATTTCAATCTATATTCAAATGACTGCAATCCAGAGGGAGAGACTATTTGGATAGGAATTGGGAGTTCCTTGTATTACAACACTGTTCAGAGTATCGGTCTATCTTTGTCATACTATACCAGTTAAAATTCCAGAAGAAGTAAACAATTAAGGTATTTTTTACACAATTTCTCTTGCTTCACAGGCAAATGCTTTATCATTTTTTAGGGCACAAGCAACACAAGTGTTAAGGCTGCAGCAGACTGCTCCCAGGAAAACAGAGAGGAGGGAGACATTTTCTCACTGAAACTACAAACTTAATTCAGCTGCTCTATGAAATAGGGAATGAAGCAGAAAAGAACTCAAACCATCCATCTTTCTCTGGGTCTGACCCAGCCAGAGCACAGCCTTATTCATTCACCACGGGCCAGCATTCACCCCACATCTGTGTCCTCCCTCACTGAAGCTGGATCAGGCCATGCACTGGAAGCAAAGGCAGGAGCTGTTCCCGTCCAGAGAGTGCAAAGCCTGCTGCAACCTATGTCTGTACACAGTGCTACGCCCACAGTTTGGAAAGCCCCAAAAACTTATTGGCTTCTTCTTTAGCTGAAAACTGTTGCTCAGCTGAGCCTGTCCTGTAACTGCGGATTGCCTCCTCCAGGGATGTGTTCAGAAAACCCTGGAGGCATTTCTGCATACAACAACTTCTCAACACCCACTAAAATCACATGGTTTTCCCCAGTGCTGCCTCAGACATAGAAGGAAAGGCCAAACATCACCCTGAAATATTAATGCTGTCTTTCTGCAAAAATACTATTTGTGCTGCACTCCACAGGAGACTGACAGAAATCATCTTCTGAATCTCTCAAACTTCCCTATTATTTCTTGCTGCAAGGACTGTAGTTGGATAGCCCAATAAAAACAAGCTACTACATAAGATCTTCACACACAGCATTTTTCTTGGCATAAACCATTAAAAAAAAGCAAGCTGGCAAACAAAACTGACAGTGGTGACACTGAAGTGCGGATGATCCCGGGACTTGCAAGTGAAAATTTCACACTTTTAATCAGCCAGATCACAAGATCTTTGCCATGTCAAACCCCTTCCCATCGGGGAAAAACAGTTCAACTGACAAAGGAAAACCAGATCAAACCCCACACAGCTCTTTTACAAGACACTTTAAAAAAACAACCTCTGAAAAACAACTCAAAACTCTTTTGGTCTGATTTTTGCAGAAAGGAACAGGCTGTGTGCTTTTGCCCAATGATTAACCTAATGCCACCGTGGGATGCTGCTCGGATGGAGGGGGGCCTGCCCTCCCTCCTCTGCATGGGCACATCTGGCAAACTGAACCACCACAAAAGTGCTCATTTGGGGTGAGGTGGTGGTGGCTTTATTTCCTTGTAGATCAGCCAGGGACAGGAGGAGGCACAGGCTGTCCTTTGTAGTGGCAGACCACAGTGACCTTGTCCAAATGCATGCTGAGCTGGCTTAGCCACTGTGCAGGGCACTCTGAAAAGGCTGTGGGTAGCACTTACTAAAATACTAAAAGCTAGTTTATCCACTTCAAGAAAATTCAGTTCTAGAAACACCCTGGTATCATAGAACCCTCCATCCTGAGCCAGACCACAGGTGACCCCCAACCACTTCTCTGTAGCAGCTAGGGAGGAACATAAAAATAGATGAGGCGTGTGATGGCATTTTTCTGATGTACTTTTCCAAATTCCAGTTATCTTCCAGATCAGTCAGATCCCTCCTGGGGCAGAAATTATATCTTTGTGTTTAATGAACTGGATTTTTCAAACCACTTTCTGATTTTTTTTTTAACTGTTGGGATGTGAAATACAATGTGTAGCAATTACTTTTATAGTTTAATTTTACAGACTGCGAAAACTATCTTTTATTTTGAGCTTGCCCTCTGGTGATTTCATTTGGTGCCCTTTAGTTTTTAAATTATTGAAAACAATAACTATTATCTGTTCATTTTTCCTGCGCCAAACAGACTTTTTTTCTCCTATTGTCCTTTTTTCCATGTTCCAGAGCCCAAGCCACATTAATCACTCCTCCCAGAGACACACACTGAGTCGATTTTTTTGTCTTTCTGCTTTTCTCTATATGGTCCCCTGTAAAAAATGCCTTTTGGGATGGAAAGGAAGGGGAGATGGCCCCCACACACACCAGTGGCACAATTGGGCCTTCTGTTTTGTTCTCTATTCATTTCCTACAAACTCCTGCCCTTTTATTTACTGTTTTGACTGTTACTATGCACTGCACTGACTCTGTAAATGTCTGTTAAGATTGCAAGATCTTTTCCTGAATGGCAATATCCAGCTCAAAGTCCATCCTTCTGTAAGCACATCAGGCTCTTTTCCTCCTCCACATGCGTTACCTTGGCCTTACCAACACCTGAAGCCAGAGCAGTGCCTCATGTCTCACTTTTACTACTGTCAATAATTCAGCACACCAGCAAGAATTACCATTTCATTTTATACCTCCCTTCCCACATAATTCGTGCAGACACTGAACATCTGATTCCACTCATCAGCTCTCTCTTTAAGAAAACCAACCATTCTCCTGAGTCATTCCCAAGCTGTGCTCCACACAGGCCAAATTCTAGTCCCACCCAAAAATATGCAAAAAAAAAGGGGGTTAGTTTTTCAGATGCTTATAAAAATTACTCTGTAGTGACAAATAGACAACCTGTTTAATGTAATTTAAAACCTGTAACCCTTCAAGCATAAGAGTAGCAATGTAAGTCTCAAGGGCAGTCTCCTGTGTGTTGTCTGATTCGTACTCTCTTTCCTACAGATGATGATTTACTGTCTTGTAACATCTATTTTTCTAAAATTTACATCTCCACTTTTATCTACCATTGCTATAAGAAGAAAGCAAGTAATGTATTAGGCTTTAGCAAGTAACTAAAATAAGATACCACTGGTTTTCAGTGCTTGAGTTTAGAATTACTTTCTATAATAAAGGGCTTTTGTGCTATCAAATTTCACTGTGCATGAGCAAACAAAAAACTCTCACATGTTCAAAGACAAGGAAGTGCCTTGTGATTTAAGAGAAAAAAGAAAAGAGATCAGAATTTGTGACACTAGTCACTTTAGCATTTTCTTCTGGAGCTACCAAACAGATTTTTTGCAACTGCTTTCAAACTGTGAAGTCCATGATATTCCACACTTGCCTTCAGAGTTTTGATTTCAGAGACTTTTCCTACTCCACTTCTATGTTTATTGTAAGGTCTCATAAAAGTCATATCTAACATAATCAAGGTTGCTTTGGCTTCATTGTCCTGAAAAGTGGCAGCAATCTTAGTTTGTCTATTTGTCATCCCGATGCTTAAGTTTAGGAGAACAGTTATTCAAAATCTAAATACCTGGAGAGATACTGCTCTCAGGCAGATGTCTAGGTAACTGATACTATTTCATGTCATTTCCAAACATCAACTGGAAAGGAAAACTAAAAATAGAAAAAATAATTCCTGCTGTGTGACAATAAAAGAGCCTCTTTTTTCACAAACTACATTATGGGAGATCTTCTGGAATCAGGGACTGAAACACCACAGAATCTCAGCAAGAGTCACAGCATTTGATGTCTAATTTACCTCAGTGCCTGATCTGGATCATTAAGTGTACTAAGAAGCATACAGCAGAACACCAGACATAGGTTTTAAATTAGTTCCCAATATTTTACTACAATATAAATTCAAGGAAAATACAAATGGAGTATATATATAATTGCCCTGGTTAGAGAGAAGGGGCGGTGGAGCTCTTAGAGCTGTTTATTCCATACCACCCACATCATTGCTGGGGGCGTGGTTTTGGCAGAAGCAGCCGTTTCACTGGAAACTAGAGTTTGCCATCTTGCTGGATCTCTCCAGGAAGAAGGTATTGGGATCAGCCAAGTGGATCCAGCCCCTCTCCCTTCCTATCCATTCAGGTCGCAGCTTTAAGACACAGTGTTGAAGGACAGCAATGATGGGTCTGAGGCGCCACTCAAAGGGAACAAAAAGCCAACAGAGAGAAGCAGTGGCACAGAGCCGAGCCCAGCTGAGCTACACAGAGCCCAAGCTCCAGAAGAGCCCAACTGGAGCAGCATCAGTGCCAGAGGCAGCTTTGCAGAAAGGAACCAGCAAAGCGGAGCGGTCTGAGGCAGCGCTGTGGCACAACGCGATGATCGCACTTCCAAGGGTTTGCTTGCCCTACTCCTCCGCTGTTTGCCGACTGGGGTGAGGGAGAACATTAAGTAGCGGAAGCTCTCTTTGACATATTGCCCTTGTGTCCCAAATACCACATGCCCCATATGCAGGAACAGTAATTATACTGACTTTGTGTGGAGACCACAGCAGGCACTGTCTTCAGGAAGATCTGGAGTTTTTTTCAGTGGTAAATGCCATTTTTTGTGGGTAGGGCACCTTCTTTTTGCATACTTTTTGCTACTGATGCTGCTGTTGTCATTGCAATTTTAGTAAATTGTTATCTTGTAATTTCTCCTTATTGTCCCTCCATTACTGAAAGGGGCAGGGGGAAAGGAAGGCTTATTTGGAGTTTAGTTCTCTAAACCAGCTGTCTAAACCAGCACAATAATGTATCTCAGAATCACAGACTATTCTGAGTTGGAAGGGACCCGCTAAGATCATCAAGTCCAACCCTTAAGTGAATGGCCCATAAGGGGATCAAACCCACAGTCTAGGCATTATCAACACCATGTTCCAACCAACTGAGCTCATCTTATTGGGTACGTCCCTCTTACTGCCATAGTTAGAAATTCTCAAGCCTGCTTCTTGAAGAGCACCTCCTGAAAAAAACTGTCATGTTCTATTTAAAACAGGAGAATTCAGTTTTAACACATTCTTATGTAAACTAATTTGTAGTTAAAGCATTTTTGGTAGAATTTGGACATCACTGCAGCTAAAACTTAGCTAAGAACCATCGAAGCCAAGTACTGACTTGTAAACATACACATAATTTTAATAAACATTGAAAATGCTATTTGTTAAGGTTCCTACTTCAGTCATGGGAAGCCTTGATCAAGAAGGTTCAGGGTGAAGGTTCCCAACAGTGTTTTGTTCACTATTAACAGTGAAAGATACAAAGTGAAAATTTTGCTTTTATTTACAAATCTTGCCAGAAGGAAAACAAATGGTGTTAACCCAGGTTGTTCTGGACCCACTTATGAAGAAATGTTCCACTATATCTAGACTAGTTAATAGACTATTTCTGTTAACTCCAGATAGCATTCCATGCTAAGAGTAAACAATTACAGCAAAATTACACAGGACATATCAGCGAGCCTGAAAGCACAGTGCTTCCAAAAAAGGCAATTTTTACCAAGACCTGTCCCTCATGTACCAGAGGGTTGGACCAGAGGTTGGACTACACTCATCAGCAAGCCACTTACTTATTTAAGGCTTGCCTATCTAAGCAAAGCTGAATGCATGGCAAACAAAAAATTAAAAATACATGTGTGGTGTGGCTAGGGTTCAGGTGTGAACTCAAGCATATTAGAACTTACTTCCTTCATAATCTATTGACTTTAGGCAAGTATATGACTAAGAGAGTGGAGAATAGAGGCATGTAAGTGGTGCAGAACAATAAACCATAGTAATGTCAAAGAGTAGACGTGAAAAAAAAGTTTTACATGAGAACAGCAGCTACTAGTAAGAAACTCACAAAACAAAGCAACTTAGCTGGGTATTACTTTGTCACTGAGTTGGTTTGCACTCTTTTGTCCTCCACATTATATTCTAATTCTTGCTTAGCCTGGAGTGTGGCTTTCTGATCTACACAGTTAAAAATACTCATCTTACCATTAGATGTTCTCATCTGCCGCCTCCGTCCCACGCGGTCCAGACCGATGGGGGTACTTTGTGAGAAGGTGAGTGGCCGGAACCTGGCTGAAACAGCCTTGTACGGGGGCACCTTGTGTGCTGGAACGGGTGGCCGTGCCACAGGCTACCGAGGAAACAGGAAAATCCAGTATTAGTTGAGCTACAGGCAAGTCCAACTGAGCAAAGCTCAGGTATGAAGTAAGGTTTCTGCAGATAGTCCAGGCAATTACACAGGCAGTAAAATCTCCTATGTTGAAGGGACATTGCTTAAACACTGCATACCATGTCCACCAGAATCACAGAACGAGTTTTATTACATTACAGTTCTTTATTACATTGAAAACTCCTTAGCCTTCTGTTGTGGTCAGACATGCTCTGTAATTTTCATCTTGTAATATGCTTTTTTGAAGACAATCAGAAGGCGGGAGCACCTCTCCTATGAAGACTGGGCTGAGAAAGCTGGGGTTGTTCAGCCTAGAGAAGACAAGGCTCCAGGAAACCTCACTATGGCTTTTCAGGACCCTAGGAGGTCTACAAGAAAGCTGGAGGGGGACTTTTTACAATGGCATGTAGTGATAGGACAAGGGGGAATAGCTTTCAGGTGAAGGAAGACCAATTTAGATGAATGAAAAGGTTTTCTAGGATGAGGATGGTAAAACACTAGAACAGGTTTTCTGCAGAGGTGGTGGATTTCTGCTTTCAGCAGTAAAGTGTATTGCTTGTCAGTAAAATAAACAAGACAATAATAATTGTCTAAATGATGCTCTGTTTTGAGTTCCCAGGAGCCTCGTAAGAAAGAGGTAATACTAGGTTTATTATTAACATTATCTCAAAGCCATTTTCTTTGGATAAATCATTTATTTCTTAAATTATGATTGGAAAACCTACCCCTGTTTTATTTGCAAATTGAGTCTGATTTTATGTTGTCCCTGAACAATGCCACATTAGCCAGGCTGAATGATCTTGCATAAGCATTCAACATTAAACAACCAGGCTTCAGCACACGAACTTCAGAGAAACTCAGCTTGAGATCTTCTCTTATTGTTCAGTTGTTACTGTTCTTCTATCAGGTAATCTGAAACATCTGGGATGGTTTTTAATGAACTATCTCTTGACACTCTGTTATGAAACCCATGACAGTATTGTTTGAAAATGTTTTCTCACACCTAAGCTGTCAGACCAGAACAAAATACAGTGAAGAGGAATTAGCTTTGTACTTTTCAAATATTCCCAAGAGTTTTCAAAGCTTTAAAAAAAAAAATCACCAGTGTGAAGAGCAGTCTTTGACAGCCCCACATAAAATACTTCTAGCACATATATGCCTGCTTGTTGAGTCCTTTTTCACATTCCAGCTAAAAGTTTACTTTTTGTTATGACTGCCAAAAACCTCAACGTGTATGGAATATGATTCATCTACAACCTCATCTTTAAACTTTATTTCCTAAGTGCCTTATCAGTATACCAGGATCCTTCACCACAAAAAGTCTGATTCGTTGTATCAAATAGCTAATAAAAGTCATGGCAACTACTGTATGCAAATAACTGGCTGAGTAATTAAAAAAAGCTATTAATTTCTGGGCAACTAAAATTTTCTTATAAGGCTTCAGTCCAAATCCTTTCCCTGGACAGACATGGATGTGTGGCAGCCCTGGGAAATTGGCCTGGGAAGGCCATAATTTGGTTTAATAACGTTAGGAATGCTTCATCATTTTGGTCTTGACCACAGTGATCCAGCAATGTGCTAACTTAACCCCAGCCAAGCTGTTATGGCAGCACTGGAGCATGGAAAGAGTCAACTCAAAAAGCTGCCTTGATGCATGTTCCTTCACTATTAAACTGATGTGAAGAAAGTTTCAAAAGAGATCACTCTGGTCTCAGCACTAAATGAAGGGCCTGGAGAGTATTTAATCCCTTACACAGTACAGCAAGTTGCCCATACTTACTATCTCTTGAAATCCATCTATTATTCTTGAGTAAGATGGTAGAGAATTTACAATAATAATTTTCCTCTTTTTTTTAACCTTCCAAATTAAGAAATAGAATGAATTTTAAAATATCTTACTTACATATGATTTGAAACACAGGCCTTTGCCTGGGTAAAAGGTTCACTGGCTTCAGCTGGAGTTTTGCATTAAGATGCATTTTTTCATCAAGGACTTATAAAGAAAAAGTATCTAATACACAATAACAGTGTTCATATTACAAAATGTTTTTCACAGGAAACTGAAAAGCCTGACATTGTTTCAGCACTTTACTATCAGTTAACTTCCCAGCGGGAGATGAAGTGGCTTGAGAAAGACTAACAGGACTCAAATTTCATTAATAACCACCAGAATCAAATTTTTTGAGGATGCAAATACTAATTCTTTTTTCTGTTGCTTTATCAGCTTGACAATTGCTTTAGGTAGAAGTCCTCCAGCTTCCAGGGAAAGCAGAAAATACCTGATGAGTGCAGTCTTACAAAAGCTGAAGCTCTGCAACCAAATGCAAGATGGGGTCACGACCACCAACACAACAGTAAGTTCCTCCACACATTGTACTTGCTCAGCACTACCTCCAGGGAGAAAGGAGCAATTTTTACCTTTCAGAAGTTTTTAATTTCTCACTCTTTTACTTAAGCCAACAGAGATGGCAAATATAGGTACTGTTCAAGTATACACTGCTTGTTAATAGGTTTCCTACCTTTGTTTCATCTGATCAATTTAGTAGTACATGGACAGACACTGTATTCATATGGTCAGTTTTCTTAAATTCTTAATTTCATTAATTTCTCAATTTATTACCAATTTTCTCAAGCACTGTCTTCATTAGTTTTAAGTATCTTTGCTATGCCAAAACCAAGTTTTTGAACATCACTTATAAAGCCACAGTTTTTGAACAGGCTTGCTTTTGGATAATTTGAAATGACCAATAAATAATGTGTTATCATTCTGTTTGATTGTACTATTCTGTTCCTCAGGCCCTCTATATGGAGACTAAACACACATCTGTTTTACACACAAATAAGCCCGTACAGACCAACATAAGACATAATGACCATGCCAAGAAAGAAATCAGATTAATTTACAATACAGAAAAGATTATCCCAAAGTCAGTATCAGGTTTGTTCCATGCTGTATTTTTAGCAAGAAGACAAAGTAATTAGTGACCAGGAAAGCAGTATTCTAAGTACACGATGTCAGCTTGACAAAAGGGAAGGAAGAGAAGGAAGCATCCATTCTATTTTCTAGGCTGAAGATAGAGACAAGGAAGTGAAAGGGTCTTTTGCAGTTTGCAGAGCACATCTGTTTATCTTACTTGTGTCAGCAGATTTTCTCTCTCTTCTACTTGATCGTCTCCATAGAAATTGACCCCACCTATTACGGAGATGGGTCTTCTTTTCCTCCCTCTGTGGTAGCCTACAGTATTGCTTTGGATCCCAGACCCAAGGGATGCCAGTCCCAGCTGATTTTCTCCATCTGTGCAGTCTGTGTTCTGAGACTCCACTGCAACTGCATCTTCTGGTATAGAGAAACTTCGGATCGCCATTTGGCCATAGTCTGAGAGAGGTCTGGGCCGGGATCTTTTTCCAGAGCCCCATTTCCTTGGTGTGACCTTTTGTGAGTCTGCCTTTTCTTCCTCCTGGGATGTGGACCTCTTCCAGTGGTCATCAGAAACAACCTTTTTAAATGTGAACAAGTCAAATAAGCCACAGAATTTTCTGACAGTTAATAATTTGTGAGTTTGTCATATATCAGATCAGCTTAACATGTCTAAAACAGAAGGAGTTACCATAAATGAAATAAATGCAATTGACAATTCAGGAAGAGATAACTTTGCAAAGCAGAGACATCATGATGCTTGTGCTGACTAAGGTAAGCACCCAACAATCAGTACCTCTTTGGCAAACCAGACTAATAACACTAAAAACTGACCTATTACCTCAGCAGTACAGGTGGGTCCTATCACAGACACTGAACTCATGGAATAGTATCTTAGAAAGATAGCTCTGTGCTCACGGGACTTTTTTCTATGCACAAGTTGGACATTACAGGTAACACCATTAAAAATAACTTAGCTCTGCTTTTGGACTTTTTACGAGGCTTGTAGCAACAGGACAAGGGGCAACAATTTTAAACTGAAAGAGGGTGGGTTTAGATTACATATTATGAAGACATTCTTGACCACCAGGTGATGAGGCACCGGAACAGGGTGCCCAGGGAAGCTGTGCATGCTTCAACCCTGGTATTGTCCAAGGCCAGGCTGGATGGGGCTCTGGGCAACCTGGTCTAGTGAAAGGTGTCCCTCTCCATGGCTGGTGAGCTTGAACTGGATGATCTTTAAGTTCCCTTCCAAGCCAACCCATCCTATGATATTTCTCTGTTCCACCTCTGTTCAGTGATGAAAACAAACAGCAAGGCTGCATTTTGACCACTTGCAGATCCATGTAACTGTAATCTGATGCCAGACTGGGCAGTCACACTCCCTCCTACGACTCACTCCCCCAATGCCACTTGGTCAGATCTAGAGATTCTGCAGCCAGGAGTGAATTAGGTGAGCGAGCTTGTCCAGTTTGGAAGGGAGAAGCTCACTTCCCATATGTTCTGGGAGTTTCAAGACATGCAGATCATATCAGAGATATATTATAGCACAAACACAGGGAAAAAATGATGGGCTTAGATAGGAAGCTTGGAAAATGAACACGTTTTTCCTATTTAACAGCACACCTGCCTCACAGAAGTTAATGCCTGCAAGTATCACAACGGCAGTGGTATTACAAGTTTGGAAATAAAATAACCTCAGCTAAAATACTTGGTAGAGGGAACATTTTTAACCACTTCAATACATATGAAGCAACACTGTTGTAATTTTTTCTAGCAAAACCCTTGCAATTTTTCAGAAAAAAAATCTGCACACAAAAATTTATCTTAACTTTTCCCTCACATTTCTGATTTCTTGGTGTTTCTTGGCTTTTTCCAGCTCCTTCATAAAAACGGCAAAAAAGAGAGAAAGCTAGTAAGTATTCCAAAAAAGAAAAGCATAATTTTGTCTCTCTCTAACTATATTTTGTTCATCTGTTCCAGACCAGACGAAGGCATTCCAGATATTGCATAACCAAAGCAAACATACAGCCCAGAAGCAGCCTTTTGCAATGATGTCTGTGCCAGAGGATTTATCTTCTGTCACCTTCTTGTCCACCTGTCATTTTCAGCCAGGCCACTACAAATCTAATGACTCTTTTTTGAGCCTCATGATACAGTGGGCAGATGTTGCTTTTTGTTTGAAAGACAGGTTAAGATTAATTCCATGGTATGAAAGCACTTAAGCCAGTAAGCAGAGTTACTAAACAGTCAATATTTTAACATGATTACTGCAATTATGAAAATGGTACTTTTCAAATATTCCCAAGTATATTGTTCTACATTCAATTATTTCACTTACAGCATGAAATTTATTCTAAATAGAGTACTTAAAAAAAATTTGTTTCTATACCTGTCATTCAAGGAAGAACTTCAGGTTCTCTACAGATTTGTGTTCAGGATCAGTTTTTACAGCACATTTAATTGAAGCAGAGAGTCACTCCCCGGCTGGTGCATTAACACAGCTTCAGCAAAGCTGTCCCTTAAGCACAGCCCCTCCAAGACTGAGCAGCAAAGTCACAGGTTAAATAAGGTTCTTACCTCAGAATCAGACACAGGTAAAGGGTCTCCACATATGCAGTGACTGAGAAAGGAGCTCATGAGAGTCATTTTATGGTTTTGTTTCGCAAAGTCTCGTCCATAAGAGCTACAAATGTGAGCACACTCTCTGCATAACCAGTCAGGCAAAGTTCATACCATGATCCTGTACTTTTAGACTGAGGAAGGACACGTCACACGTCATCTCATAATCTGCTGCTTACACCCTTATCTTGAGCAATAACATTTGCAGAGGACTGCTTGCATTCTGCAGACTCCACCTTAAGTAGTGATCCAAATGACAGCCAGATTAATCTCTGCTGTACAACAAACAATGCTGAAAGGATGTGTGTTTTTAGTCTTAGATCTATAAACTACACTGAAAAATACTAAAAGAGAAAGCATAATCCTGTCACTGCAAAAAACAGGGGAAGCCAGACTGACAATCTCACATTCCTCTAACTGGCCTGCTCAAGCAGGACCTTATCAAGTGACCACTCACTAGCAGGAATAAAAATATCCAGTACACAACTCTTAGGCTCCAGTACTGCAGTCACTTATGCTTAAGTGTGATTCTTGACATCAAGGAAAAAATTCTGAGGAAACAATTGTACTCCAGCTGTGACTGGCTTTATACTGGTGCACCACTGCTGACCTCAAATCACCTTCTCCTAATGAATCTTTTATAAGTGAAAGCATGTTGATGTTGTGCAATTATTACTGGGAACATCTACAGATGTCTAGAGATATACATGGCACTTCATATAGGTTGAAAATCAAAATCTTATGCACAGGCTCATGCATTTTAAGTGCTGGTCAAAAATTTCAAGGCATTTTGAGATTTCTGACAAATTAAGATCTAAGATTAATCCACACTGGATTTTCCAGAATTCATACCTGTTAGTCTAGCAACAGCACAGGATCACCAATACCAGAAATCAAGATAATTAATCTTGCCTTTTAGGCTGTATCCTCAGTTAGGTTTCTTCTGAGACTGCAAATGCAAACAGCTCGGCTTGTTGGTGCTGATGCAAATGAATTTATTTTATCTGGGTAACTGAATTCCTACAACAGCAAACTAGTTAAATCATTGTATTTCAACTGCTTTCCTCATTCCTGACAGCACTGTATCTATAAATACAACCATTTAAAATGAACATCTACTTCAATACAGATTACACTTATATTCGCTATTGATCCCTTTCAATATGTCACTCTTAGCTGCAGATTCCTGCATTTTAATTTCAATTCTGCAATGGAGCTGTCTGTACATTAACTAGATAATAAAGTTGTCATCATAGCCAGGAGAAATCTAGAATGAAATTTTGTTGCCTGAACATAAACACCCAGGGCCATTTCAAATGTCCAAAGGAATCTAAGATATCTCCACGTGCCATGCATCATGCAAGTATGACACAGGACCTATGGGAGGCATGGGCCATCCAGAAGCAGCCCCTGGGGACAAAGGGAAGCCTGTCATGACATCTCCAGCACTGCAGGATCTTTTATGTTCCAGGAATCAAGCTGAGCCTCTAAACAAGAGCATCAGCCAAGCCTACTGAGTGACCAGCCAGGCAGGACCCAGGTGTCAAGCTGGGTTGCAGGTGGGTTTAGATGGAGCTACAACTATGTTCCCCAGTGCTGTGGACAGCCCTGCTTGGTCCATAGCTCCTGCTCCAGAAATGTGCAGCTTCATCACGAGGTTTTTTCCAGCTGTGTGCAGCTGTCTTTGATAGCTGCCCCTCACTTCATTTGACAGCTATTTTTAGTTGGGCTCAACTCCAGGTGCCACATTCAGGTGCGCTGTTAACACTCTGCTCCCCAGGACCCCCTGACCACACCCAGCAGGCTACAGTGGGAGCTCTCCCAGGCTGCTCCCAGGTAAACAAGGACACCACAGAGTCTGTGCCCAGCCAGACCAAACTCCTCCCATGCCTAGGCCCAGACTGATTTCCCAATCTAACTACAATAACTTCAAGGACTTGATCATGATCTCACTCAGCTCAACTTGGCACTGGTACAACCCTGTTCCATTTAATGGCACATGACTGCTATTGGCATTCCCTGTACTCATTAATAACCAAGGTAAGCAACATCAGGCGCTTAATCACTGAAATCTTAGCTTAGTCTTTAGAGCCCGGTTCTCCAGCTATTACTCAGACCACTGTGTACTTTTGATAAATTCAGCACTCAAACTGATTTCAGAGGAAGTGCTGCCCAAGAAGCACAACATCTGAATTGCACTGCGCTGATAAAATGTTGCTTATGTGGATGCAACTTTTATCAGTGATATGACAAAGAAATTGCCAGTACCTGAAATTGCATGGCAGGACTTTTGTTGGTGCAGTTACAACCATGAATAACCCTTCATCCTCTATACCTGACCCCATTCTGTGCTGCAGAGAAACTCCAAACTACAAGTCTGACCCAACAGAAAATGCTGCTGGTCAGCCTCCTGCTGTTGGGACACTTTTGAGGGCTGACACCATGATAGCAAAGAAAAAACAAGCTCTGAGTGATTTTTTTTTTTTTTGTCAATGTGTTTAGCCGATAAACTCCCTAATTAAAATCCCCACTTTTTATAAAGGTCTTGATGACTGTGTACATTGCTGAGAGTCCCTGACCACTAATCTGCATTTCAACCCCTACTGTTACCTACTTGGATTTTCAAAATTTAACCTTTACATTCCCGATGCAATGATGTCCCATAACATGCACATACAGACAACTACAAAGGTATAAGGGGACACTTCTCTCCTTCTCTCCCGAAAATTTTTCCCTATCTGGTAATCTTCTGGGAAGGCACAAGTAGGTACATCTTGGACAAAGACCCCCACCATTCCTCTTCCCCAGGGAAAAGAGCATCCTGACTACACTTCTGCTTTTTTCTTTTTCTTTTTTTTCTTTTTTTTTTGGGGGGGGGGAGGGGAGGGGAGAGTTTGTTTGTTTTCCTTAGCTACACAGTAAGTTGCAATACTTCTTCTTCTGTTATCTCTATATGTT